CCAACGGAGTACACATGTTTAGGATGTAATTAACAGATGTAGTTTAGATAGGGGACGACTATCACAAAGGTATGTAAAATATACACAATGGGTAACAAACCTCTAGAAAACACACGGAACATTAAAAGTACCTACAGTAACCTGTGTATACCAGGAGAAACGATTTCTGTACACGGGTCTAGAACTGAAGCAAGGTTACCTGCATCTTGATAATATATGGTCTCTTACAACTCCATTTATCTGAAGTCTGTTTTCTTGTTTACCTCTATATATGTCACCTCATTCCATTCTCGTTATATCATCCCGAATTCTCTTTAGATGTTTTTTATTCCCTTTTATCTTCCTTCCTGATTTGTTGTAATCACATCCATGTTTGTGTGCGTTAATGTATTGAGAACACATCACACAGTAAGCTGAATGAGGCGCTTTACTACACCGCGACATTAATGACGCGTTGTGACCGCATTGTTCATGTTTAAGTGTAGTTGGCAGGAAATGTTCTTGATGCGTTTGGGTAAAAATGAAAATTGTGCGTTTCAGTGCAGACATGGAATGTCTATAAATTTTATGTCCCGGTTACATACGGATCATTGATAAAAACATTGTCTGTTGATTGTCCTCAAACCAATGTTGTATCGCATGTTTTTTTTCTGTTCTGTTATCAAATGAAAACCCATATACAGTAAAACGAAATAATTTAACCATCATGATAATTTTAATTTGCGGAATGGGAATTTAAACGGGAACTGTTGCAGAACCTCATCGCTTTTCACGTGAATATTTGTCTACAATAACTGTAACAGGTGTTGATATACGTAGTTTGTTTATTGTAGAAATATATCTCTGTCTACGTGTTAAATATATCCCTGTCTACGTGTTAAAGATATCTCTGTCTACGTGTTAAAGATATCCCTGTCTACGTGTTAAAGATATCCCTGTCTACGTGTTAAAGATATCCCTGTCTACGTGTTAAAGATATCCCTGTCTACGTGTTAAAGATATCCCTGTCTACGTGTTAAAGATATCCCTGTCTACGTGTTAAAGATATCCCTGTCTACGTGTTAAAGATATCCCTGTCTACGTGTTAAATATATCCCTGTCTACATGTTAAAGATATCCCTGTCTACGTGTTAAATATATCCCTGTCTACATGTTAAATATATCCCTGTCTACATGTTAAAGATATCCCTGTCTACGTGTTAAAGATATCCCTGTCTACGTGTTAAAGATATCCCTGTCTACGTGTTAAAGATATCCCTGTCTACGTGTTAAATATATCCCTGTCTACGTGTTAAAGATATCCCTGTCTACATGTTAAAGATATCCCTGTCTACGTGTTAAAGATATCCCTGTCTACATGTTAAAGATATCCCTGTCTACATGTTAAATATATCCCTGTCTACGTGTTAAAGATATCCCTGTCTACGTGTTAAAGATATCCCTGTCTACATGTTAAATATATCCCTGTCTACGTGTTAAAGATATCCCTGTCTACGTGTTAAAGATATCCCTGTCTACGTGTTAAAGATATCCCTGTCTACGTGTTAAATATATCCCTGTCTACATGTTAAATATATCCCTGTCTACATGTTAAATATATCCCTGTCTACGTGTTAAATATATCCCTGTCTACGTGTTAAAGATATCCCTGTCTACGTGTTAAAGATATCCCTGTCTACGTGTTAAAGATATCCCTGTCTACGTGTTAAAGATATCCCTGTCTACGTTTATCCTATAAATGAAATGAATTTAATTTAAGAATGCTAAAAGTACAGGCCCAAAACATGTTTAAAAATATCTCCCCCCACAATAAATACCAAATACAACGTATCTGTACCGACGTCTATCATCTTTCAACATTTGCACCAAAATCTTTTAGAAAGTGACAGTTACGCCGTACAGGGACCCTGCCTAATACAAAATATCAGTATCCTGCAAACATCGTAGTGCAATTATAAAGCAATTTTCTAATGTCTTTCATCACGTGTACCAAGATCTTGACATTCTAAAACGAAAGCCGACGCCAACGCCGAGGTGACAACATTAGCTCCCCATCTTCGTTGAGGCAAGAAAAGGTTTGTGACTGTCTACTGATCAATGGATGCTGTGGCTTGAATCAAAATAGTAACTGTGCACCCATTTTGAACTGCCGTTACGTGCAATGTTTAAGTTGTTTATCTGACTGACACATACTATCATGTACATGTGATATAAACTTAGAATTAAAGCACCTGTTAAAGGAATTACAGTGCACACCAAAAGTTTACCGACCTGCACCAATGTGATCGTTTTTGCTTTCTGTAATTGGCACTTTCCTGTGGGATATTAATACACCGTTATATTAACCAATCAAAAGTTACAGAGCCAACAGGAAAACATCCACATACTTACAAAAAATAATTAAAACTCGAAAAATTGGGCAATCCAAGTGAAAAAAAATCACGTTATCAGTTAGGAACCAGGTTGAAATCACTAAAGTTACTAACGAGCATCAGCTGCGTGGAACTCCACATCGCACGAGGGAAAATAATATCTACTAATAGTGGTTATAAAACTTTCGGCCCTTAGTATCGCTGACGAGTCCTACAAGGACGAAACAGCTTTATGATGTAGCATCTCTGACGAGTCCTACAAGGACGAAACAGCTGTATGATGTAGCAGCTCTGAGAGTCCTACAAGGACGAAACAGCTTTATGATGTAGCATCTCTGACGAGTCCTACAAGGACGAAACAGCTTTATGATGTAGCAGCTCTGACGAGTCCTAAAAGGACGAACCAGCCGTATGATGCAGCATCACTGAGGAGTCCTACAAGGACGAAACAGCTTTATGATGTAGCATCTCTGACGAGTCCTACAAGGACGAAACAGCTTTATGATGTAGCAGCTCTGTCGAGTCTTACAAGGGCGAAACAGCTTTATGATGTAGCATCTCTGACGAGTCCTACAAGGACGAAACAGCTGTATGATGTAGCAGCTCTGGCGAGTCCCGCAATGATGAAACATTTGTATGATGTAGCAGCTCTGGCGAGTCCTACAAGGACAAAACAGCTGTATGATGTAGCAGCTCTGGCGAGTCATGCAATGATGAAACAGCTTTATAATATAATAGCTCTAACAAGTCCTGAAAGGATGGAACAGCTGTAATATGCAATAGCTCTGACGAAACCTACAAGGACGAAACAGTTGTATAATATAGCAGCTCTGGCGAGTCCTACAAGGACGAAACAGCTGTATGATTTAGCATCTCTGACGAGTCCTGCAATGATGAAACAGTTGTATGTTGTGGCAGTTCTGGCGAGTCCTACAACGATGAAACAGTTGTATGATGTGGCAGTTCTGGCGAGTCCTGCAATGATGAAACAGTTGTATGGTGCAGTTTATTAAGCGTTTTGATCTATTGAATCGTAGTTGAATATAAACGTTAAAAGGTGCAACATACTTGTGTCTTTTTTATAACCTTCACTAACCTGCTCCTCTCCGCACAGACAAACTCGTCAGTAATGAAAGACACTCCTCATAAATTTGGATTCTAGTGAAGATTGTATAAAGACACACAAGTGAATAAAACCTATTAACACAAATTTAAAGTTAGCAGTACCAAATAATGAATTAAACTACATCATACAGCTGTTTCGTCCTTCTAGGTTCACGAGGCCATTATAAACAAAACAATACGTTTCCTTAGCATTTACAGCTAATGTTGATAATAATAATAATAATTCATGATTAGCTGATATTTCGTCTGTATAAAGATAGGATAACAAACCTTGTTCCCTTAATCACAGGTAGTGTAATATTGTTTGCAGACGAAGAACAGTTGCCTCCAAGCTTTCGACAATTTGGGCCCTAATCACCACTGACCAGAGAGACGAAATAGCTGTTTATACAGTATTTTATTATCTGGTTATAAAGTATGTGGTTATGATTTTTTTGAAAATCAGGGAATTCAGACTTGTACTTTGCTGTCACTTTAGATTTTAAAATTCTACTTTGAAAATTATCATCCTAATAGATTTAATCTACTTTTAAAGAGAATCCAACGCAGCATTCTGTCGTTTCACCCACTTTCTGTAAGTTTCCGTGGAATCAATGAATATCTTACGGTGATTAGAAGGAGCACTGTGATATTTTGCCATTGTATGAAAAGCTCTCGCATCTTGATATGGTAATTTAAGGGGTTGGTTCGAAGAGTATCCAAATATTTATTTCTATTCTGGAATGAAGCGAATGTCACTTCAAGCATATTGCCTTTACAAGCTTTTCTGATGAAAAATGGGCGAATTTAATCCGTTCTTTTACACGTTGGCCTGGCCAGTGTTGATTCAGATATTTTTTAACTAACTCAGATTCAAGGAATATTTTGGGTAACCTCTTATCATGAATCTATGAATCTCAGTCATTGGTTTTGAGTTCGTAAACTGATACAACTACATTGTGCATGATCGTGATACGATAAACTTGCGGATTAATTTTCGTAATGCGGGTCGCATTTTGGGTTTCGGGTATTTTGTTGTTTGAGAACTTGAGTGCTCTTTTGATTCGGAGTGTTTTATAAATATGAGATTAATCACTGTTACTACGTCATGATTTAAAATCGTTTCCACTAAGCCATGCTTTTTAATAAACATCCAATTTGTTTTTATCATTTCTTTTCCCTTATCAATTGGTTCACGCCCTCCTGATGGTTTACAATCATTGATTTAATCTGGCAACATTTCACATTTACTGTAACGGAGAACATGAAAGTGACGTCAGTAGGACCCAAATGGAGATACTGTCTTTTCAAACAATGTTCCAAACATCACTATCAGATGTACGTTTATCAGACAGAAGACGGTACCTACCCTTCAGATAGACCGGAACCGTTCGTGGTGTGAGAAAAGCATTATGCAAGTATACCCGTGTGAAAAAATTCTTATGTTACCATAAACAAAACGATAACAACGTCATGCATGGAACACTATAAGGCCGACGCTCCAGCAGCTAAACTGACCACAACATGGCGGCCACTTGCAGAGTATCGTTGTGCTTACTTCTCGTCAGCGTAACGTTTGCGCAAAATTCCATATCTTTAGAGGACAGATTTGAAATGTTGGAACGAGAGTTTGCGACGGAAAAAGCTAAAATGAATTCGGAGATAGAATCGACGAGAAATGCACTGGACATGACGCGTTCACAACTTCAAGAAACTCAGTCTCAGCTTTGGGAAACACGGAAACAGCTAGCAGTAACGTATCCTGGAGGGCTTCACAATCCTGGGACAACGAACTTCCAGAACGAACATGGGCACAAATCAGAAAACGTTCTTGGATGGAACAATACTACAAAGTCGCGCGCATTATCCCAGATAATGGAAAAATGGATACAAAACGCAACACGTGCACAAGGTGGCCGAATACCATCCATACCTGTTCCCGGCACTAATCGACGGAGTAAGTACAACTTTAAAATAGATAAATTAATTAATGAACAAATGTTTATTTATATATATAATGATTAACTTTTTATTTTGTTTCGGTTTGTCGAGAGATACCTAACATAATAACAGACAGATACTCCTTTAGTGGACACAACTCTGGGCAAATTAAAATGTACTCAGTCCAACTGCTGTATCAACATCCTTTATGCTTACAAACTCAATTACCAAAGTGTAACACAGAGTCAAGATCTTATTAGATTTATCATTCAGCAATTGTTAAGACTGGTAATCATAAATGCACAGTCACCGTGGTGTTAGAGTTTTACTTCACATAAAGACACTTACAAATCTGGGCAAATTGAAACGTTTGGACAGTACATTTTCCCTTTATTTATGTTCGTGAAATCTGTGATGTTACCAAAGTTTTGTCCTTGGTGTTGACTGGTGCCAACATACAAAGCAAAACCACGTGATTATTTAGTAATATGTTATAGGACAAATCACAACATATGTATCTACTCTTCGGTAGCCTTTCAAGTACTATGGAACATTTCGTTGAATAAAAACCATGTATATTGAAAATCGTGATAACAACACGAACAACAAAAAGGTACATGATGGGTGTATCTTAGCTTTGATTGAAAGGATCTGTCAAAATTTCTAAACCCTGTGGATAATAATGAAGGGATTGAAGTGTAACAAATCCATCGTAAGAGATTGTACTTTTCTAAGACTGAAATCCCGTGTCCTTAACTGAACTTAAACTATCGCGATAACACCAGGGACAAAACAATGGCAAGTTGCAAATGTCTTTATATTAATGACTTTTTAAATTTGTCAGTTCAAGTAAACCTTTTTAAGCAAGTTTTTTTTTTTTTTTTTTTTACAAAATATATATATATATTTTTTTTTTGCATTATGCAGTCTGTATACTATATAAGTTGTTTACCAAATCTGTAATTTATATCATAATGACAAAATATTCACAATTACATATAGAATTTAAAGAAAGTAACGACGTGGAACATTTTCATAACTAATTGTAGGTAATAATGTCTCGTTTCACTGACTAGTACTTATCATAACTACGTGTTTACATCTTTTGATTGCACAACAAATGTGTATTGTGTTTTTCAAACTGTCACTCTCTATACACTGTCGGTATTAACTCCACTGTTTTGAAATGTGAATAACTTTCAAAGTAAGTTTAGTTTGTGGTATAGTGTTTAACAAGTTTATTTAAGAAAAGAATGAAGTTCCATTGTCTCACCAGAAGATTGGAATATTCCGCGTGAAGCAATTATCTATATATGCAGCTTACGTCATGGTTCACCTTCGACGTCAACGTGAGTTTTAAACAAAGTGTTGAGGTCTTGATAGTACTGGCTTTAAATACGGTTCGCCAGTTTGTCCCCTCACTAAATAGAAATGATATGATAGAATTCTCCGTACACTTATTGTCTCTGTATTTACCTGGATAGATAAACAGACTATGTATTTACCTGGATAGATAAACAGACTCTGTATTTACCTGGATAGATAAACAGACTCTATATTTACCTGGATAGATAATCTATATATTTACCTGGATAGATAATCAGACTCTGTATTTACCTGGATAGATAAACAGACATATTTACCTGGATAGATAAACTATTTACCTGGATAGATAAACAGACTCTTATTTACCTGGATAGATAAACAGACTCTATATTTACCTGGATAGATAAACAGACTCTATATTTACCTGGATAGATAAACAGACTCTGTATTTACCTGGATAGATAAACAGACTCTGTATTTACCTGGATAGATAATCAGACTCTGTATTTACCTGGATAGATAATCAGACTATATATTTACCTGGATAGATAAACAGACTCTGTATTTACCTGGATAGATAAACAGACTCTGTATTTACCTGGATAGATAAACAGACTCTATATTTACCTGGATAGATAAACAGACTCTACATTTACCTGGATAGATAAACAGACTCTGTATTTACCTGGATAGATAAACAGACTCTATATTTACCTGGATAGATAAACAGACTCTATATTTACCTGGATAGATAAACAGACTATATATTTACCTGGATAGATAAACAGACTATATATTTACCTGGATAGATAAACAGACTCTACATTTACCTGGATAGATAAACAGACTCTACATTTACCTGGATAGATAAACAGACTATATATTTACCTGGATAGATAAACAGACTATATATTTACCTGGATAGATAAACAGACTCTACATTTACCTGGATAGATAAACAGACTCTATATTTACCTGGATAGATAAACAGACTCTACATTTACCTGGATAGATAAACAGACTCTACATTTACCTGGATAGATAAACAGACTCTACATTTACCTGGATAGATAAACAGACTCTACATTTACCTGGATAGATAAACAGACTATATATTTACCTGGATAGATAAACAGACTATATATTTACCTGGATAGATAAACAGACTATATATTTACCTGGATAGATAAACAGACTATATATTTACCTGGATAGATAAACAGACTCTACATTTACCTGGATAGATAAACAGACTATATATTTACCTGGATAGATAAACAGACTATATATTTACCTGGATAGATAAACAGACTCTGTATTTACCTGGATAGATAAACAGACTCTACATTTACCTGGATAGATAAACAGACTCTATATTTACCTGGATAGATAAACAGACTCTACATTTACCTGGATAGATAAACAGACTCTATATTTACCTGGATAGATAAACAGACTCTATATTTACCTGGATAGATAAACAGACTCTACATTTACCTGGATAGATAACTAGACTCTATATTTACCTGTCTTAATTGTGTTTATTATTTGTAGCTGCATATAATCAGTGCCCTTTCATGGATTTATACTGTTATTCATCATTATTTGATTTTTAAAAATCATGTGGAGAGTACATGTATTTCCATCCTAATGCAGAGTTATATGCTCTTGTGTGCAGGTATCCATAGTTACGTCTTTTGTTTGTTTAGTAATGGCATAAGTTGAGGAAAAGACGTAATTTTGTAAACATATAAAAAATGTGTTATATTCCAGATCGACGTCAAGCGATCAACTTTAACGCGATAGCCTTTCACGCTGAGTTAGGAATACCTGTCGACAGTCTGAAGGTTCAACAGGCTATAGTGTTCGACACCACCACTCTGAACACAAATATGGCTTACAGTGAAAATAACGGCGTGTTCACGTGTCAGGAGACAGGTACCTACTTTTTCACCGTCAGCATCATGGTGTTTCCTCAGGAGAAAGTCGAAACCGAGATGGTCGTTAACGGTAACCAGATGCTGCTGACTTTTGCGGCCGGGACTACAGCGTTTGGACAAGGGACAAGTTCTACAGCAGTCCATCTACAACAAGGAGACAGGGTGTGGGTTCGAATCCTTAACGTCCCAACGTTAAGTACAGGGACAAACATTCGTGTCATGGGTGGAGGCTGGAGCTCGTTTACGGGATTTTTAATTCAATAACGCCATTTGACTGTTACACCAGTAAACAAAAGATTGATGGCTTAAGTTTATTTATTGTTAATAAACATTTCATAATAAAAGTTGCTTGAATCGATACATCGAAGTATAAATAGGATATTTTACTCCTCTAAATGGTTTTGAAATAAAATCTCTACCCTTAATTAAATAAGAGGACGTTCGACGAATCTTGTTTATTTCCGGATTTTTTAAATTGAAATTAATTGTTAGAGTTGCAATTCTCATAGTTACAACGGAAAACAAATGTTGTTCCTTCGTGTCGTGAGGCGTACAGGAAATAAAATCAGAAATTAATTTTTGCTCTGTTTCCTAATTATACTTTTGTTTTCTGTGATATAGCTTGGCATTTCTATCTCTATGATTTCTCATTTATATACTATCAAACAACACACACACACACACACACACACACACACACACACACACATATATATATATATATAGATCTAAAGTACAACTTAGATGGTGTGTAACAGCACGGAAATGTTTATCACTGATTTACAGGGCCTGTGTATGAAATAGTGTAACACGAATACATTTCAAATATATTTTTACTTGCTAAAAGACCAAATTGTTTCTGTGAAACTTCAACGTAATAAACAGATTTGATATCGATATCACCCACATAACCTCGCTAAAATAAAATATTTTAAAAATACTATCAAAAACAAACACTAAGCGAAAATATTCCACAAGAATAGTGTCTATACAGGTATAAACTGCAAGAGAATAAACCATTTATTGTTTTACGGTCATCGCAGTGATCTCATTGTGAAATAATCTCAACCTGCTCGTTTGTTTGCCCGTTGGTTCCGGTGCTGTTTACCTTGTTATCATAACATGTCATAACTTACTTTAAATGAGCGATGAAGCAGCAGACGCTTACTCTGCCGGAACACATGGCCTTATTCCCCTTGTGCTTTTAAAGGTGTCTCCGTATAAATATTTGTGAAACAAGCCTAAGGAATTTTGTCGGCCTTTGGCGAGCAAAACTCCAACTTTGAGACGAGTCATTAAATTTCATATAAAATAGAAAACGAATGTGAAACACGTTTTATCGTATAATTAAGAAAAATTACATTTTGACAGATTTTTTATGTCAAACTATGGAGGATAAATTTAAACGGGGCAGTCAGTTTGTTGTGTCATATCCATTTATGACGGTGTTTGCATCATTACGTTATTTGCTAAAACATCCTTTCATATAAAAGGGCTATGTAATGTTGCCATCATCTATTGTTATTAGTTTTTATATCGTGGTTGTTGTGAGGACAAAAACCAATAATAAACGTCAGTTGGTAGAGAGATAAAATATATCGAGGCATGTTCTCATACAGCTAAAATCTTTCTTAAAATGATTGCACACGTTTTCACATTCATGAACAACTGGAATTGTAAGCAATACATACACACACGTATAATTCATTAAAAAAAACTTGTCAACTTCTCTCATACATAAATACATGTCTATAGATATAATATGAACAGATCAAGTCCTTTGACTTTTAAGATTTATTAGTAAAGTGAACATGAATGAAATCAATGCAAGAATATCTCACATGTTGATAACGTTTTTTTACGTCGTTTAACATGTTCCACAAATTGGTTTCTATATTGGCAAAAGCATCAAGACATTCCATTTATCACCTGCATTGGTTGGAAATTTAAAGATACTAATGGGTCATTTTAACGACTACTCTAAATAACGGAACGGCAAAACGAGAACTGAGTGGGTTTAAGCAATAGAACACTTGAAAGGGTGCAAAATAGAAGATTTAACTCCAAATTAATGACATGAGGTCAATATATAACATGTTTACAGTGTTCTTGTGCAAAATACCGACATAAAAAACTCTGGCGAAATCTTGACAAAGGAGAGACTTTCCTGAAACTCCTGGAAAAGTATAGGGAGAATATGGCCAGACGTTCCAGAAGAGTAAGCTTCTTCTGCTTCTTAACATCTAACATGTTAATCTTGGTCATCCAAAAAAGTAATGTCACTTTCCGAGACAACAACGGAACCACCAGGCATCAATGAAGCAGAAAACGCTTAATTGTAAATCATTGTTTTGCTCATATTTTAACCTAGTTTTATTGAATTTGAGTTTGGATTATGATTATGTTGACATGTTGGCATTTTCTTGTCTTTGTAATCTTCATCAGTTAGTTATAGTTAGTTTTTAGAAAAGTAACTATTGTTTCTCTTTACCAGACTCGATATTTCTAGAGTCGGTCTGCCACTTCCTGGTGTCCTTGTTTCGATTCCTGTTCTGTAGTTACAAGCAGCTCTTGATCTTGAAGGTATTGGTGTTTGGTGCCATGAATACATTTTCTGGAAGATTATACCACATTCTCAACACTCTGAAAGTGAAAACGTTATGTCTCACGCTTCAGTTTGTCCTCTATGGAAATATTTTCTTAGCGTTTCCTCTGAAGTTGACCCTGACTGTGGCCACTTAGCAAAACGTTGTTATCATACAAGCGTAATAATTGAAATAAAAACAATCTGTATATGTCACAAAGTTTGCCGCATCTATTGAAATTTTTTGGTCATCGGTTAATACATTCATACAAATATAAAACATATCACTACGTTAAACGTGAGATCAGTCAGGAGATATCTTATAGGTACAGGGAAAGGTTTTCATCGAAAGATGAATGCCATTCTTGTTAATATACCGAGAAGAGTTCCGTTTTTTTTTTTTTTGTGTGTGAGATCATGAAACGAGTCTTCGAATATTTGTTTTTCGTCCTTTTTATTATATTTTACCGAGTCTCTGCCGTGGTAAAATGACACAAAAAATGCAAGTTTAATAAATCTCATACGAAATGGAAATGAACCAAAGAATCTGTTTCTCTTCCAGCATTCACAGTTTTGTCTCCCGTTTTACGAGTTAGAAATTTCTCTGTCACTACCAGGGTATGACTGATAGCAAGTGTTATCTCGAAACAGTAGCGTCACCATTTTATATAGTAAAATAATGTCGCAAACTGATAAACGTCACCGATTTCAACGCACATGTCATGATGTCGGTGAGATCACACCGACATCATACCGAGTTCACACCGAGATCACACCAACATCACACCGATATCACTCCAAGATCACACCGACATCACACCGAGATCACACCGACATCACACTGAGATCACACCGACATCACACCGACATCACACTAAGATCAACTAGGTTGTAACCGATAAAAGTCAAGTTGGATTAAAAATGGATAGGCATCAGCTCTCAGTGGTACGCTCTGATTTCCTTTTCTTTATCTATATAAGGTCATGACCATTGTGTTTAACACCGATTCCAAAAATCGGGATAAAGTGGCAGTTCGATTATTCTCTTAAGGTCATTGTTTATCTAAATTACTTAAATACACAGACTGTTTCACTATAGAGTATTCGATCATTAAAGAGGTTAGTTTAATTGTTTGTATAAGGTTCTCATCCAAATCCGTGTATTAACTGCATTAGCGATTTACAATATAGAGGAACGAGAATTTTTAAGCGGATAAGGAGAGGCTAAATACGCTATATAAAATATATTCTCTACACAGCAAGCGGTCACAATGGAGGTCACAGTGTCAATAAAGAGAACGTATAACCCCCCCCCCCCACCCCCCACCCCACACACACACACCCCGCCTCCCTATAAACAATATACCACCACATACCCTATAGTACTGTTTCCTCGGATGTACTGATATAAACTCCAATATGTCCTCGTCTATTTTGCTGGGTCATTATGAGGCGGAGTCTCCTTGTAGAAACTGATGCACGGTTGCCTCACCTTCGCTCCATGCACCCCTGAAACATGTCATTGCAAAATTGAAGATTCCATTTGCGACACTTTGCGGACACGACGAAAAAAATTGTTTGATCCTTTGATGTACATCACGTGAATCTCGAGGTCTCATAACAGTATATTGTAATGGCTTTGAAGTTGGGTGTCGCCCCTGGAGTGTCGAGGATGGTTCCAGAGTTCAGACAGTAAAGGTAATCGTAACCCCTGAAGTATCGAGGATGGTTCCAGGAGTGCAGAGAGCGAAGGTGATCGTAACCCCTGGAGTATCGAGGATGGTTCCAGGGGTGCAGAGACCGAAGGTGATCGTAACCCCTGGAGTATCGAGGATGGTTCCAGGGGTGCAGAGACCGAAGGTGATCGTAACCCCTGGAGTATCGAGGATGGTTCCAGGGGTGCAGAGACCGAAGGTGATCGTAAACCCTGGAGTATCGAGGATGGTTCCAGGGGTGCAGAGAGTGAAAGTGATCGTAACCCCTGAGTATCGAGGATGTAGATCCATCAGATGCATGGTTAATGTGTTAGATGTCAAATACCTTCAAATATAGTGTACTCCCTGAAATAGTGTACACTTAAATGTATTATATTGTACGCTCATATATAACGTACGTTATACCCTCAAATATAATGTAGCCTCAACATGTACCCTCAAAGCAGCATTCATGTTCAGTGTACCCCAGATTAATATATAATCAGAGAATCTCATAATCAATAAATATGTCAGAATAATATCAAACAGGCAATACGCTTTCATCTGATCATTTAAAGGATATGAATTAACAAACACACGATTAGCTATTGGCCCATCGATGTTCCGCCACCAACGTTGATCGTGGTTTTAACCGAAGATGTCCCGAGGCAAAATAGTTTATTTTGTATACTTGTCATCTTTAGTTAATCAAAGTTGAATTCAGGTCAGCGTGTTAGTGCTCCTACGATGACCGTGGGCGTTAGACCCAATTTCTGTATATATAATACACACACATATATAGGTACGGAAATGCCACGACCGTATATCAAATCTGACACAAATCGGAGTTAAAATGATAAAAAGGTCACTATGATCGGAGTAAGTCGGTCGTATTACAAGTACCTGCTGTATCAACAAAACAACAACAAAAACTTGTCATACACTTGTCCATGTGGACGATGATTGTCGCATACCAGAATCTATTCAAACTGGTCATAGGCCCTGATAGACAATAACACATTAGTTAAAAAGTAGGACACACTGGTTTAAAAAAAGTCTTTTGTATTTTAGCAAGCACTGGTTCGAAGGCTTCTTTTTTAACCTGTAGTAATGTCTTTTAAGATCTGAGACCGCAGTCCCCGCCTATTATCCCAGACTGCTGAAATATTTCCTAATACACAGAGTCTTTACACAACCACTGTCCCTACCTGATCAAACACACAGTATCGTCCGTAACTAAGTTGATCAGATTCCGTCCACCACAGTGCTAATATTGACTACAATTGATTTAACACCCGATCAAGTTCTCAACTCCTACATGCTAATATTATCTCTGACTCATCCGGCACCTGGTACAGTTATCCAGCGTCTGATTTCGTTATCACACCCAGCACATGCATAAGTTGTCTCTTATTTATCCATAATCTTCTACAGTTGTCTCTTACTTATCCATCACATGCTACATCTGTCTCTCACTTATCCATCACCTGCGACAGCTGTCTCTTACTTATCCATCACCTGCTACAGCTGTCTCTTACTTATCCATCACCTGCTACAGCTGTCTCTTACTTATCCATCACCGTCTACAACCGTCTCTTACTTACCCATCACCTGCTACAGCTGTCTCTCACTAACCCATCACCTGCTACTGCTGTCTCTCACTTATCCATCACCTGCTACAGCTGTCTCTTACTTATCCATCACCGTCTACAACCGTCTCTTACTTACCCATCACCTGCTACAGCTGTCTCTCACTAACCCATCACCTGCTACTGCTGTCTCTCACTTATCCATCACCTGCTACAGCTGTCTCTTACTTATCCATCACCGTCTACAGCTGTCTCTCACTTATCCATCACCTGCGACAGCTGTCTCTTACTTATCCATCACCTGCTACAGCTTTCTCTCACTTATCCATCACCTGCTACAGCTGTCTCTTACTTATCCATCACCTGCTACAGCTGTCTCTTACTTATCCATCACCGTCTACAACCGTCTCTTACTTATCCATCACCGTCTACAGCTGTCTCTCACTTATCCATCACCTGCGACAGCTGTCTCTTACTTATCCATCACCTGCTACAGCTTTCTCTCACTTATCCATCACCTGCTACAGCTGTCTCTTACTTATCCATCACCTGCTACAGCTGTCTCTTACTTATCCATCACCGTCTACAACCGTCTCTTACTTATCCATCACCAGCTACAGCTGTCTCTCACTAACCCATCACCTGCTACAATTGTCTCTCACTTATCCATCACCTGCTACAGCTGTCTCTTACTTATCCATCACCGTCTACAACCGTCTCTTACTTATCCATCACCAGCTACAGCTGTCTCTTACTTATCCATCACCGTCTACAACCGTCTCTTACTTATCCATCACCAGCTACAGCTGTCTCTCACTAACCCATCACCTGCTACAGTTGCCTCTTACTTATCCATCACCTGCTACAGCTGTCTCTCACTTATCTATCACCTGCTACAGCTGTCTCTTACTTATCCATCACCTGGTACAGCTGTCTCTTACTTATCCATCACCGTCTACAGCTGTCTCTTACTTATCCATCACCGTCTACAACCGTCTCTTACTTATCCATCACCAGCTACAGCTGTCTCTCACTAACCCATCACCTGCTACAATTGTCTCTCACTTATCCATCACCTGCTACAGCTGTCTCTTACTTATCCATCACCTGGTACAGCTGTCTCTTACTTATCCATCACCGTCTATAGCTGTCTCTCACTAACCCATCACCTGCTAAAGCTGTCTCTTACTTATCCATCACCTGCTACAGCTGTCTCTCACTTATCCATCACCAGCTACAGCTGTATCTCACTAACCCACCATCTGCTGCAGCTGTTTCTTACTAACCCATCACCTGCTACAATTGTCTCTTACTTATCCATCACCAGCTACAGCTGTATCTCACTAATCCATCACCTGCTGCAGCTGTCTCTTACTAACCCATCACCTGCTACAATTGTCTCTTCTCTTACTTATCCATCACCTGCTACAGCTGCTATACAGCTGTCTCACTTCTCTCATCCCCATCACCTGCTACAGCTGTCTCACTAATCCATCACCTGCTGCAGCTGTCTCTAACCCATCACTGCTACTTACCCATCACCTGCTACAGCTGTCTCACTTATCCATCACCTGCTACAGCTGTCTCCCACTTATCCATCACCTACTACAGTTGTATCTCATTTATCCATCACCAGCTACAGCTGTCTCTCACTAACCTATCACCTGCTACAATTGTCTCTTACTTATCCAACACCAGCTACAGCTGTATCTCACTAATCCATCACCTGCTGCAGCTGTCTCTTACTAACCCATCACCTGCTACAATTGTCTCTTACTTATCCATCACCTGCTACAGCTGTATCTCACTTATCCATCACCTGCTACAGCTGTCTCACTTATCCATCACCTGCTACAGCTGTCTCTCACTAACCCATCACCTGCTACAGCTGTCTCACTTATCCATCACCTGCTACAGCTGTCTCCCACTTATCCATCACCTACTACAGTTGTATCTCATTTATCCATCACCTGCTAAAGTTGTCTCTGACTCATCAAGCACCTTTAAATATCGTCTCTAACCGAACGATAACCTGTGCAAATAGTCTCTTATTCAACGAGAACCTGTAAAAATTGTCTCTATCTCATCAAGCACCTGCTGATATTGTCTCTGACTCATCAAACAAATATAAAAGTTGTGAATACTCAATTACTCAAAATTGTTATTATAGTTCATCAGTTAGCTCGTTAATCGATCTCTTAAACCTATTTTAAAACAAATTGAGATACATTCCACAGCCTTCTGTGTCTGGAAGTCTTCTCACTCTCTAGTTTTACATTGTCTCACCATCTCAGATCGGGTTTAATTTATTCATTAGTAACCAGTAATGATGATAAGAGTAAAGTGTTCGTAATGTAGTGACAGGGATTCTTATCGCATGGTGTATATAGATTCATATAATTTATTTAAAATTGGTTATGCGATGTCACAAAGTGACAAAAAATCTCTAGACTTGTAGGTGCAAACTTCTCTCTCGTCGTTGACAATTTTGAACCACACTCCCTGTTTTATTCCATATTCATTAAGATGTCGTCGAAAGAATTTAATGTTCGTGACATGTAGGACTAATGCACAAGTGTGCAGTAAAGAAAAGTGTGTCAATATATTCCTGATATCACGTGTGTCTAGGACGTGTATATGTCCTGCATCCATTATTATCATCGTTCCATGGCCGGTTTCGGAAATATTTAACACAATTGTGCAAGTACGTCTTCGCCGATGAAAACGTTAATTGTTCGTGTTTTCCCTTCTATTTATCATACATCTTTTGGTGTTTTTTTTTTATTTTATTTCAGAAAGTGTCCTTTAGTTTGAGGTTCCATATGCGTGTCCCCAATATCATTATATCTGCCGACGCTATTTCTTTAAGTATTTTAAATGTTTGAATCATGTCGTTTTTTACTCTCCGATCGTGACATTGCAGCGATTATTGGTAATCCCAGAGAGTGGTGACTAACGTGGTAACTAACGTGGTAACTCATTGGTCGGATATCCTTGACATTGCAGGGATTAGTGGTAATCCCAGAGAGTGGTGACTAACGTGGTAACTAAGTGGTCGGATATCCTTGACATTGCAGCGTTTAGTGGTAATCCCAGAGAGTGGTAACTAACGTGGTAATTCATTGGTCGGATATCCTTGACATTGCAGCGATTAGTGGTAGTCCCAGAGAGTGGTGACTAACGTGGTAACTAACGTGGTAACTCATTGGTCGGATATCCTTGACATTGCAGGGATTAGTGGTAATCCCAGAGAATGGTGACTAACGTGGTAACTAACGTGGTAACTCATTGGTCGGATATCCTTGACATTGCAGCGATTAATAGTAATCCCAGAGAGTGGTGACTAACGTGGTAACTAAGGTGGTAACTAAGTGGTCGGATATCCTTGATATCAATGTTGTCTCTCTTCTTTGAGCATTTTCAGTGCTCTATAATTTCCTTTTTACACATTGGGTACCAAACTGAGTAAGCATATTCGACCATAAGATCTAAATACAACACTCTAATTAAAAGTTACAGTGGCCGGAAACGTTTCCTTCAAATGTACGACGTATTAGACCAGTCTATTGTATGAACCAAATTCTGGCTACTCAGCTTACAGGAACCAGACGTTTTTTGTATGTGATATAACACTATTGATTAAATACAGGACTCCTGCTATTTCAGCACCAATATCTATATTTATATATATATTAAATGCATGATGCCAGTGTAAATGAAATTTGATAAACTCTCGAATAATAAATCTTGTGAAGGTTGTGGTAGTACACTGATTACTTTGAACAGATGTATAATAGTGACGTTTTTGCCGGGAAATTTCAAGTTTGGTAGAGTTACTTCCCTTTAGACATTCGGAACGTCTTGCACGTTTGCATCATAAAACATGTGACTTGAAATTTGTTGATGTCATACGAATGGACTATTGACAGCCATGGCGGAAGTACTACTTCTGGCGGGGATAGGAATATTATTGTTTTGTTTGTTGTTGACACTGTTGGGCTTGGTGATTTACTCTGGGTTATTTGATCATGTAACTGTTGGGACCGGTAAGCCACCCATAGGAGAGGTAACTATTGCGTACAAGTTTGGGCGAGGACCTTACAAAGGAGCAGGCCAGCTGTGCAGTGACATCAGTCTTATTGCTCCTCCAGGCCACCGAGTTGTCTGCATTTACTACGATGACCCCAAAGTGGTAAACAAAATTATTATGTCAGAAAGAACTAAATAAAAATAAACTAGATCAAGTATTATCACAAGTGGGCTGTTTCTGCAGAACAAGCAGAACAAATTTCAAGTCAGCGTAATCTAAAATTTGAAAAGGCGATAAGGCCTGTAGGTTTATTGCGTATCTATCCACAGTGGCGGTCTGTCAATGATGTCATCTTGTCTGAAGGTAGATAAATAAATAACACGACCACACTGCTTTGTTTATCCCCGAGCTTGGAATTTATCACTTAACAGATTAAAGGTAATTCGTATGTTGACCTACATTAATAGTATATAAAAATAGAAGATGCTCTTATTACCATAGTATATATATTTATGCTACGTATCAGAGGGTCATTACCATACTATACACACACACACACACACACATATATAATATATATCAGAGGTGCTAGTAAAGAGTCTGTTTACACTCATATAAATATGGAGAATGGTCCTGATGCAACTTCTTTCTAATCACTGGGGCATATAACAAAGTTATAGGGGAAGGGCGCTTTGTACTATATAATTAATAGTAAATGTATACTACACAAGCCTCCTCCCTAGAAACATTCTTACTTGCTTCTGTGCTTAACTTGAGGAACATCACATTTGCTTTGTAAATTTGTGATGGGACTGTGTATGATTAGTTCTGGTGCATAAAAAGTGTTACCATATATAGAAAACCAACATCTAGTCAGATACTGCTTTGCTGCAGAAATTCCCATGAACAGACTCTGAAATTTTGTGACTTGACTTCAGCTGTATACATTGTATGTTCTTTAAAGCCTTTCAGTCCTTTAGTGAAAGAAGGCCTCATACCATGAAAACATATACAGATAAGGTTCTTGCATAAGGCACCGTTCTTTCTTTGAAAAGTTATGCCTAGTTTGGTTTGAAACATTTCAGCATTTATTGATGATTGTGAATTGCTAGGCATACCATAATGTGTTTATTTCTATAAACACTTGTGTCAAAGCAATCAAGATTTGGACTGGAATGATGGTAGCTATTTGGCCATGTCACTACATATATAACAGAAATGCATATTTTTCAGTAATGATTGAGGATGCATCTATAAATGCCTTTGTGAATACAAAATTAACAAGGTTTACTAATTTGTAAGGTGACATAACAGATTCCTTTCTATGAATGGATGTGTCAAACACTTGAAGTAATAAAATCTAGGGCTTCAGTTACAAAGTTTTACTGTGTGCTGCAAGTGATATGTTTTAGGTTTGACTACCATGTGAGGTTTTTGATTATGTATGTTGAATACACTTGTATATTCTTGTATGACCATTGTTCAAGGGGAGATAATCCCTCTGCTTGTAAACTAGTGGCCTAGAAATCTGTATCCATTTGAGAAATTTGAAATGAAATTGAACTTAGCACACATAACACAGAGAGTGAGTATAAGGAATGTGTAGGTGTCTTGCCATGAGCAGGGTTAACGTTCCATGAATTTAACCATAATGTTAAATTTTTTTAACACAAGCCAGAAAATGAAATTCACATTAAAGAATGCCCCAAGACAAGGATAACAGATATCTGGCTGGTTTAAATCTAGTGAGTTGTTACAAACCACTGGAAAATGATGGCTACATGTATAGACTAGAGATGAGATTCTTATTGGAGCTCATGGCAGACAGTTTCTGTGTAAAGAACCCTTTTTTACAAAATGTCTACATTTCCTTACACCATCAGTTTCAGAGTATATTAATACACTTATGCCTAGTATCTTATTCAATTGTATGATCGTTAATTGTTATTACATGTTACATGATACTCCACTGATCATCCATCCAGTGTCATTTAATCAATATATATACTTCAAAGGCTACCAGCTGTTTACATGTAACAATAAGATTTAATATACAAGAAACTATGTTTACCAGAGTCTAGACTCTTCATTCTGTTGTGTGTATATTACCTTCTATGTCAAATATCTGTAGAATATGTTTCATGTTAAAATGCTGGTTAGATTTAATCCAAGACATTGGCTTGTAACAGATGATTGAATGTGATTTCCAGGTCCCCTCTGACAAGTTGCGTTATGCTGTTGGAGGAATTCTATCTGAGGATGGTAAACCAGAAGATGAAGAATTCAAAAAGAAGTTATTAGGCGAAGGATATAAGATGTTTACACTGCCGAGTGTGTCCTTTGCTGTCAGCACATTCTTCCCCTATAGAAGTACACTGTCAATATTCATGGCCATATTTAAAGTGTACCCAGCCTTGGGCTCCTACATAGAGGTAAAGTGTATAATGTCACAACCTATATAATATATCTATAACTGAATATACATATAAAGCATTACATACAGCCAGGTAATAAGTTCTCAATATACTGAAAATTAGCCCTCATTACACAGGTAATTAACCCTCAATATACAGGTGATCGGCCCTCATTACACAGGTAATTAACCCTCAATATACAGGTGATCAGCTCTAAATATACAGGTAATTAGCCGTCAATATACAGGTGATCAGCCCTCAATATGCAGGTAATTAACCGTCAATATACAGGTGATCAGCCCTCATTACACAGGTAATTAACCCTCAATATACAGGTGATCAGCCCTCATTACACAGGTAATTAACCCTCAATATACAGGTGATCAGCCCTCAATATACAGGTAATTAACCGTCAATATACAGGTGATCAGCCCTCAATATGCAGGTAATTAACCCTCAATATACAGGTGATCAGCCCTCATTACACAGGTAATTAACCCTCAATATACAGGTGATCAGCCCTCATTACACAGGTAATTAACCCTCAATATACAGGTGATCAGCCCTCATTACACAGGTAATTAACCCTCAATATACAGCTGATCAGCCCTAAATATACAGGTAATTAGCCCTTAATATACAGGTAATTAGCCCTCAATATATACAGGTGATCAGCCCTCATTACACAGGTAATTAACCCTCAATATACAGATGATCAGCCCTAAATATACAGGTAATTAGCCCTTATTATACAGGTAATTAACCGTCAATATATAGGCGATCAGCCATCAATATACAGGTAATTAACCCACAATATACAGATATATAGGTGATCAGCCCTCATTACACAGGTAATTAACCCTCAATATACTGGTGATCAGCCCTAAATATACAGGTAATTAGCCCTTATTATACAGGTAATTAACCGTCAATATATAGGCGATCAGCCATCAATATACAGGTAATTAGCCCTTATTATACAGGTAATTAACCGTCAATATATAGGCGATCAGCCATCAATATACAGGTAATTAACCCTTAATATACAGGTAATTAGCCCTTTATATACAGATAATTAACTGTCAATAAATAGGCAATCAACCATCAGTATACAGGTAATTAACCCTCAATGTACAGGTGATCAGCCGTCAAAATACAGGTAATTAGCCCTTAATATACAGGTAATTAGCCCTTTATATACAGATAATTAACTGTCAATATATAAGCAATCAGCCATCAGTATACAGGTAATTAACCCTCAATATACAGGTGATCAGCCCTCATTACACAGGTAATTAACCCTCAATATACAGGTGATCAGCCCTCAATATGCAGGTAATTAACCCTCAATATACAGGTGATCAGCCCTCAATATGCAGGTAATTAACCCTCAATATACAGGTGATCAGCCCTCAATATGCAGGTAATTAGTTCTCAATGTGAAGATAATTAGCCCACAAAATGGAGGTAATTAGCTTTCAATATACAGACATTTAGCCCTCAGTATGCAGGTAATAAGTCCTCATTATACAAGTAATAAGCCCTCAATACACAGGTAATTACCTCAGTATACAGGTAATTAACCTCAATACACAGGTAATTAGCCCTTAATACACAGGTAATTAGCCCTTAATACACAGGTAATTACTTCTCAATTTAATAGACTTAAATGTATGGAAATAATTAGTCCTCAATATGCATGTAATAATTCCTTAGTATACAGGTAATTAGCCCTAGATATATATACAGGTTATTAGTTCTCAACATACAGGTAATTAGCCCTAGATATATATACAGGTTATTAGTTCTCAACATACAGGTAATTAGCCCTAAATATATATACAGGTTATTAGTTCTCAACATACAGGTAATTAGCCCTAAATATATATACAGGTTAATAGTTCTCAACATACAGATAATTAGCCCTAAATATGAAGGTAATTAATCCTCATTATGTAGATAATTAGCTCTCAATCTGCAAGTAATTAACCCTCAATATGCAGGTATTTAGTTCTGAAAAATGAATGTAGTTGGTTTGCATTATACAGGTAAGCAGTCCTCAATAAACAGGTAATGAGTCCTCGTAAATACAGGTAATTAGTCCTCATAGATATAGGAAGTAAATTCTCATACATACAGGTAATTAGTCCTCATAGATACAGGAAGTAAATTCTCATACATACAGGTAATTAGTCCTCATAGATACAGGAAGTAAATTCTCATACATACAGGTAATTAGTCCTCATAGATACAGGAAGTAAATTCTCATACATACAGGTAATTAGTCCTCATAGATACAGGAAGTAAATTCTCATAAATACAGGTAATTAGTCCTCATAGATACAGGAAGTAAATCCTCATAAATACAGGTAATTAGTCCTCATAGATACAGGAAGTAAATCCTCATAAATACAGGTAATTAGTCCTCATAGATACAGGAAGTAAATCCAGGTAATTAGTCCTCATAGATACAGGAAGTAAATACAGGTAATTATAAATACAGGTAATTAGTCCTCATAGATACAGGAAGTAAATCCTCATAAATACAGGTAATTAGTCCTCATAGATACAGGAAGTAAATTCTCATAAATACAGGTAATTATTTGTTTCACGATATAAGTTCAATATGTAGGTATAGCTTTTTCTATGGTTTTTGTCAAACCTCCATGTACCAGACATGTCATTTGCTACGAGGTTTGTTGTCTCACTATCCTTAGAACAGAGAGCTGGTGAACAATTACAAGTGATTTGTGTTGTACATGTTTGTTCAAGTACATTGATATAGAAAGTATCCTGCAGTTGTTAGTTATGTGTGGATAGCTTCTTTGATAAGTGACTCTTGAATGACTTTTAAGGTGAATCCTAAACTGGATTTCTGTAATATAAGTTGAGTTAAATAACTAAAACATGCATTGATTTCTTATATAATTAATAAACGGAAAACCCATGAGGCCAGTCATTTCAATATTCTGTGGATTTTTGCATGCAGTAACTTCTGCATTGTTGAATGTTTCTTACAGAAATGCTATAGATATAGTGATTAAGACAACTAAATGTATTCCTTTCCGGGGATGTAGACTACTATTAATGGAACACCATGAATTGTGTAAACAACTTAATGATAACAACTAGCCAGTATTTATCATAGATGTGTGTTTTATTCCAGGAGCATTGTCTTTGTGCCCATCCAATGTTGGAGATTTATGATGCAGACAAAATCCACTTCATGGCTCCTCTTGCCAAACAGAGTGAGTTTTATGTGGAGGAGGCTGAAGAGGAGAGCGGTCTAAATTTGGATGATACTGCAGACTTCGACTCTGAAGGTATGTCCTTTGATGAAAGTATGATTGACAGTAGCGTCTCCCGCAGTGAGGCCTCTGCCACAACTTTCATGGGGGAGCCATCAGATGATGATGAAGAACCTGCTGAAGAAACACCTTCCAAGATGTCAGTAAAATCGGAAGCAAGGGAGACAATTCATAGAAATGAGAATCAAGAACTAATAGATTCTGGATTTAGCTCCGAACAAGTAATTAGTCCAGAAATAAGTCCTCAGAAGAATAACAGTGCTGAGGAAAATTCTGGTGGTATATCAGATGGCAATGATTCAAGTTCCTCCTTCGAGGAAATACAGATGGATCCTGACCAGGAACTGATGCCTTCAGGAAGCACAGCTAAATGAATGTTGCAACCTTAAATAAGTTTCATTAATTAATGATAGAGGAGTTAATTGTGGTCAGGGATCACTTTATTTACACAGATATATGCTTCACAGATCCATAAAGATTCACCAGATCATGTCCTAAAATGTCCAGCATGTTGCAGATTTCTTTTCCTATTTGGTGGCCCATTTATGTAACTGATAGTACGTTTTGTATTTTTGATGATTGGTCCAACTTTCCTGACACTACTTCAAAGTATACATGTGTGTAGTTTAAAAATATTGTACATTATACATTGTACATTATAATGAGCTCAAATTAGAAGTATCATAAATTAACTCACATGAGTAGGTGGCAAGGTATGTTATGCTTATAAAGCCAGCAGTTACTACTCGATATGGAGTCTGACCATTCAATGGCCAATACGACAGTTCTGTCCATGTAAAAGTAGACAGTGTTGTGTATCATTGCAAATATAGATTGTACTGTCAGGTTGTTACTGCTGAACAGGACAGGGTTGTCATTGGTCATTGTATTATAAGACTGCTGTAAGTGTTATGTGTCACTACAAACTTGGGACATTACTGTCAGTGTGTCACTACAAACTTTGGACATTACTGTCAGTGTGTCACTACAAACTTTGGACATTACTGTCAGTGTGTCACTACAAACTTTGTACATTACTGTCAGTGTGTCACTACAAACTTTGGACATTACTGTCAGTGTGTCACTACAAACTTTGTACATTACTGTCAGTGTGTCACTGCAAGCTTGGGACATTGCTGTCAGTGTGTCACTACAAACTTTGGACATTACTGTCAGTGTATCACTACAAGCTTGGGACATTACTGTCAGTGTGTCACTACAAACTTTGTACATTACTGTCAGTGTGTCAGTACAAACTTTGTACATTACTGTCAGTGTGTCACTACAAACTTTGTACATTACTGTCAGTGTGTCACTACAAACTTTGTACATTACTGTCAGTGTGTCAATACAAGCTTGAGACATTACTGTCAGTGTGTCACTACAAACTTGGACATAACTGTCAGTGTGTCATTTCAAACTTGGACATTACTGTCAGTGTGTCACTACAAACTTGGGACATTACTGTCAGTGTTTCACTACAAACTTGGGACATTACTGTCAGTGTATCAGTACAAACTTTGTACATTACTGTCATTGTGTCACTACAAACTTTGTACATTACTGTCAGTGTGTCACTACAAACTTTGTACATTACTGTCAGTGTGTCAATACAAGCTTGGGACATTACTGTCAGTGTGTCACTACAAACTTGGACATAACTGTCAGTGTGTCATTTCAAACTTGGACATTACTGTCAGTGTGTCACTACAAACTTGGGACATTACTGTCAGTGTTTCACTACAAACTTGGGACATTACTGTCAGTGTGTCACTACAAACTTTGGACATTACTGTCAGTGTGTCACTACAAACTTTGGACATTAGTCAGTGTGTCACTACAAACTTTGGACATTGCTGTCAGTGTGTCACTACAAACTTGAGACATTACTGTCAGTGTGTCACTACAAACTTGGACATAACTGTCAGTGTGTCACTTCAAACTTGGACATTACTGTCAGCATGTCACAGTAGATTCAAACTATACTGTCAGTGTGTCACATTAGACTCAAACTGTACTGTCAATGTGTCACAGTAGACTCAAACTGTACTGTCAGTTTGTCACAGTAGACTCAAACCGTACTGTCAGTGTGTCACAGTAGACTCAAACCGTACTGTCAGTGTGTCACAGTAGACTCAACCTGTGCTGTCATTATGTCACTGCAGAGACTCAAACCATGCTATCAGTGTGTCACAGCAGCGCAAACTGTGCTGTCAATGTGTCACAGCAGAATCAAACTGTGCTGTCAATGTGTCACAGCAGAACCAAACTTTGCTGTCAGTGTGTCACTGTGTCACTGCAAAGATAGCTTTTGCATTCTGTTACCAAGTGGGTCAATTTAACACAGTATGCTTTGAAGATGATCTCAGCTTCAGTTCCATGTACCTACATGATAATTCACCCATATCATTCATGTCATTATCTGCTTGATAAACTTATTGTTGAAGATTATTTAAATACATCAAAAGACATATTTAATTCTAAAGCTGGAACCTTGATATCAATAATCCTTGTTGACTTATGTTTACTTTTGTCCGAGATGCCTGGAGTAGGATATTTGTAGTTAATGGACGGTTAGTGTTTATCATGGTGTTGTTTCATTTTTCAGCCTGTGTTCACAAAATACAATATTCTGATATGTTTTGTATATATAATGCCTGTATATTTTGTGTCAGTACTATGGATGTATTTGGAAATGTTTCACATAGTCTCCTTACATCAATATAGTTTATTCTGCAGTTTTTAAAGTTAGATTTTTTTTGAAAGGTTGATTGTAATTTTTTTCACAAAATGCTGTATCCTTTTGTAAAAAAGGTCTTCTTGTTTTGAAGTTTGAAAAATAATCTTTTTAGAAACTTTATACAAAATAACTTCTTTTTGTAAACTTTTATAAAAACATTCCAGGCATTTAAGTAAAATACAGTTTTTAGACTGTTGTATAAGTACTTATACTTGATCAAATGGCTGATATTCAGATAAAGTATTCATACATATAATTCTATAAAATGCATTTTACCTTATACTGGGCCTAGGTGCTGAGCATTTCCTGATAACAATGATGAAGTTGATGTAAGCTTGTGACATATCCTATAATGACTGCGACTGATATAAATCTGTATATTGTTTATATAATATTTTTGGTCATTGTTACTAATCAGACATAAACTTACCTTTATAAATTACAATTCTGTGATATCTCTAAGGTTAGCATCTTTACTGACTAATTTATATGTAAAAATTAACGAACATTTCACTCTATTTTTTCCTTAGATAAGTAAAAAGACCTCAGCTGACCACTGATTCCCTGACACTTTGGAATGAAATCAGCTGTTATTTAAAAACGTGTTTGATTATAGACCTTTCTGTATGCTATTTACATTAAGTACCAATGCATTTTCATGTTACTTGCCATGTATGTGTACCAGTTTGTATAGCTATGTTAAACTCCGTTAAATTGTCACTCCTGCACATCTCAAGTAACATTAAACACTTACTGATGTTATCATGTGATTGTATGTTGATATGTTTAGCCCGCCATCGTTGGATGTTCGGCTATTAAAATTGTCCTACATCTGTGGTCTGTCGTCCATCTTTTAAAAAGTCTTATTACTGTCTCAGTTCCCCTTGGTCACTAGCAGTGAATTTTGATTTTGGAACAGATCAGAAAATAAAAGCTATTTCTTTAGAAGTGCTGGATTGTTCTTAAATTTCATATGTAGGTTCCCATTGGTCCCTAGTTTTGCCCTTATAATTTTGGGACTTATCAGAAAAACAAAATGGTTGACAGACGGCCATCTTTGATTTTACAGTTTAGAATTGTTATTGCTATTTTCTAAAAGGAATTGTCAAATTTCATACACATGTGATTACAAGTAGAATCAGAGGAAAGATCAGGTCAGGGAAAAGCTCCAATTATAAAGGTTAAATACAGATGAAATGGTGGGTGCTAAGATCCCTCTGGGATATCTTGTATAAATGAATAATTTGAATTTTTTTCCTGTTTTATGAACATTAGACTTGTGTAGAATACTTTTTGTCAGATTTAAATAATGGTCTATTACAGAATAAACGTCTCTAAAAGTGTGTTCGTAGTGGTATTGTGTCACATTCTGGGAATGACATACATGTATTGTTTTACCTTAGGGTTTTTTTTACCACATTACCTCGGACACTGACAAAATACTATTGACAATACTGTGTTCCTTGGTATGCTGACACGGCAACCAGTGCTTCTGTCATGTGTAGTCCTTATTTCTTCTGGGATGGTCTTGGGGGCATTATGTTGATGGGAAAGTTCTTCCTGGTGAAAGTCAAGTCATTATAGTATAATGTATGCATTTGTGTTAATTCAGTGTAATAAATGTTGTACTGTTTGAGGACATTGTTGTGATCTTTGAGATATAGGTATTTTTCAGTGGTTTTCTAGCTTTTGTAATTGTGTTGTCAAAGAAATATGATACCTTTCTAGATATCTGTTTAGTGTAAACATGTGCACCTCAAATAACCAGAATAATTGTCAAGATAATAAGTGAATTTTAGAAACACCAACAAAAAATATTTTAAGGATTGAAAAAGTATTTATAATCAACTATCAAATGTCTTCTATCTTTAGAATAGAACCATTAGAAGATTTAAGTGTGTTGTTTGGATGACAAGACTGTGACCTTCACTAAATGGCCAGTGAGAATGTATAGGCTGTGATGTATGGAGTGTACACTACGGCAGGAAACTGTGACGAGATGTACATAGAGTTACATAGAAAAACCGTATACAAGACGATAACTATGTCCTGTAGTTGATGTGGCTAACTTATTAATACAAGGCAGCAGACCAAATTTCATCAAAATTGTTTATAACTCGAGTTATCGTGTTTACAATAGGAAGCTAACATATGACGCGAAATGATGGATGACAATCGCAGGTGACCTAAAAATAACAAATTGTTACTAGTAATTATTAGGGTTTGTCCTCTTTCATGGATCCTGCCAGAAACATAATGTGGCAAAAATGTATTAGTGGTGGCCTTAATGCATTCTACAAAGTGTGATAGAAATAGAGTTATGACCTTCAACTGACCTTTGAAGCCAAATTTTGTCATGAGGTTTAGCAACCATGGCTTGTGAAAAAATGTTTGGACACCTGCTGATATAATATGCATGCGTGATGATTTCCAGATAACTGGTATTAGGTACCTATACATGTTTGAGTGATCCAACATCTCTTTAACACTTACCAGGCCTATTATAGTCCCGAGTCTAGGACTGGAATCATTTACACAGACATATTTAATATAGCGGAATTGAAATGGCTTCTCCATGTTAGAATGGACCTTTCTATTCTGTTAAATGATCTGCAAGGTCATAGGTCAAATATATTGTATACCGGTAGTGATAATTCAGTTTTTTTTAAGTAAGAGAGAGAGAAAAAAACCTGGTGGACTAGAACAAATTAGGGCCATTCCAATAATAAAACTTCACAAATTTACAAGGTCACACAGTTGAAAAAGTCAGAAGTTAATGTTAGAGTCAGTAACATGCTTGGATGAATGACCATCTTATTCAGATAGGAGATCTGGATTCTTTTTCAAAATGTATGGGGAACTTACACCTGCAATTTTTAACAACCAGGGACACTATGTTTGCTGGGTTTATTATCTTGAAAACAACCATTATGATTTAATTTGAGGCTGGATCTCATTGTGGAATCTGGTGGCTTCCTCACTGAACATCATGTGGGAGGGTGTTACTTGCATTTTCAAAGAACACAAAGTAACACACAAGGACTTTTGATCTTAGCCATGTGAGAAATTAAAACCACCACTGGTAACTATTGAATCAACACACCTCGGATCTTCATCAAGCAGTCTGATGCTCCACCAACTGAGATCAACTTTCCAGGCCATAGGGGTCAATCTAGCAGTCTGATGCTCCTCCAACTGAAATCAACTTTCCAGGCCATAGGGGTCAATCTATTAGTCTGATGCTCCACCAACTGAGATCAACTTTCCAGGCCATAGGGGTCAAAGGTCTAAACCATTTACTGGGTATACCCTTGAATAACCAGCAAGAGATGAAAGAGAGGATCTTGGTGACCTCCAGCAAGGCTGAGTTTTCTTTGGTAAATATTGCCTGTATGATATAGATAAGGTACAAATCATGCCGTAGAAAAAGGCTACCTTGTCTTAGTGAGATTTCATGGAAATTGGAAGAAAGGTATAGTGAATCCAGTGACAGTGTAGTTTGGTAATGTATATTGTATGTTTCGGATATGTGGTGTGTTGTCACTGACAACCATAATAAACAAAGATGATAAACATGCATTTTATTTTCAGAAAGCATCTTTATTGACATTATATGAACAGCGACTTATTTGCCTGACATTTGTACAAAGTGAGTTTGTATAAATAAGACAAAATGTACAATAAGCTGGCAACAAAATAAAGTGCACATAAAATATCTCTCATTCCTCCCAAAATGCAGATAGCAGGTTTCTTACAGGAATTTGTTAATGATGACTCTACATCAGTAATTGTTGTAATAAATGTCTGTACCTTTAATGTGTAGTTTTACAAACATTCAACGCATGGCACCATAGATAATCCAGTAAAGACAAGTTCACTCCCTTGGGTGAGGAAAAGTTCACTTCCTTGGATAAGGAAAAGTTCACTCCCTTGGATAAAATCCTACCCTAGATATCTATCATTAAGTTGGTGGTCCTGCTCGATGTGTTTGTTAATTAAACTTTACCTGCCAGTGTTAAAAACCAACATTACACTTCAATATATTTTCTTTTCTTTACAGAAATTGATATAAATTAAAGAATAATTACAACTAAAAATGATGAAGGATTTCTCTTATTTCATGTAAAGGGTTTGTTTTCCAAGACGATAATGAATTGTATCTAGTATTCTTTAGCTAGCTGACTTTAGTCACACATTAAAGCTGACCTTTGACCCCTACCACAAAAATTAGGGTCTTCTTCATTTCAGGATCATTTAAATTTTTTCATTTACACAAACATACCTGACATCATACATATCTTTAAATAAATGCAATGTTACCATTATAATCTAATATCTTGCGAGTGCAATATCTCAGTGAATTCTTACTCAGGTTGAGATCTAAATGTTGTGTAATTTTTTTGTTCCATTCATAATTACCTTACCATTTATATATACACAGGTATATGTCATATATATGGGGTGTTCTTCACAAAATCTAAAAAAAAAATATTTGACAGCTTCATGATATCGAGATCAGTTAATTTCCTAAACATTCATCTACTTTTCTTAGTGTTGTTGCTCACTCTTAAGACAAACTCATGCTATCTATATCTAACACACATCTCCAGGTGATATTGTCCAACTTTAGACAAAACACACATCTCCAGGTGATATTGTCCAACTTTAGACAAAACACACATCTCCAGGTGATATTGTCCAACTTTAGACAAAACACACATCTTCAGGTGATATTGTCCAACTTTAGACAAAACACACATCTCCAGGTGATATTGTCCAACTTTAGACAAAACACACATCTCCAGGTGATATTGTCCAACTTTAGACAAAACACACATCTTCAGGTGATATTGCCGAACCTTAAACAAATACAAACTCATGCTATTTATATCTAACATACATGTACAGCCCCATTCAGAAAAGCAATAAATATTATTTCACAAGGACAATTATTTAAAAATAAAATAAAACACAGACTGGTAATTCTAGGACAACAGCTGCCACAAGCAGGATTTAAAGGTATAACTGAGATTGCATTTGACAGACAAAACATCACATTCAAAAAGTTACACAAATATATAATGTTTCCAGAAGTCAATAAAAAAATGGAAAGCAATATCTTTTGATAAACATTTTCATCAGTAGATTCCTCTTTTATGTAGTTTGTTAATGATAAAACAATGAATGCATAAATGTTTGACAATTCACAATAATACAATACACAGAAACTTGACCACAGTAGGACAGCTGGGTACATTACCCAGAAACTTGACCGCTGTAGGACAGCTGGGTACATTACCCAGAAACTTGACCGCTGTAGGACAGCTGGGTACATTACCCAGAAACTTGACCGCTGTAGGACAGCTGGGTTTATTTCAGCACAGAACTTGACCGCTGTAGGACAGCTGGTATATTTCAGTACAGAAACTTGACCACTGTTGGACAGCTGGGTACATTACACAGAAACTTGACCGCTGTAGGTCAGCTGGGTATATTTCAGTACAGAAACTTGACCGCTGTAGGACAGCTGGTATATTTCAGTACAGAAACTTGACCACTGTAGGACAGCTGGGTATATTTCAGTACAGAAACTTGACCACTGTAGGACAGCTGGGTATATTTCAGTACAGAAACTTGACCACTGTTGGACAGCTGGGTACATTACACAGAAACTTGACCGCTGTAGGACAGCTGGGTATATTTCAGTACAGAACTTGACCGCTGTAGGACAGCTGGTATATTTCAGTACAGAAACTTGACCACTGTTGGACAGCTGGGTACATTACCCAGAAACTTGACCGCTGTAGGACAGCTGGGTTTATTTCAGCACAGAACTTGACCGCTGTAGGACAGCTGGGTTTATTTCAGCACAGAACTTGACCGCTGTAGGACAGCTGGTATATTTCAGTACAGAAACTTGACCACTGTTGGACAGCTGGGTACATTACACAGAAACTTGACCGCTGTAGGTCAGCTGGGTATATTTCAGTACAGAAACTTGACCGCTGTAGGAACTTGACAGAAACTTGACCGCTGTAGGACAGCTGGTATATTTCAGTACAGAAACTTGACCACTGTAGGACAGCTGGGTATATTTCAGTACAGAAACTTAACCGCTGTTGGACAGCTGGGTATATTTCAGGACAGTAACTTTAACACTGTAGGAAAGCTGGGTATATTTCAGTACAGAAACTTGACCACTGTAGGACAGCTGGGTATATTTCAATACAGAAATTTGACCGCTGTAAAACAGCTTGGTAAATTTCAATACTGTATCTTTTTTTTTTTTTTTTTTTGAAAATAAAAGTGCTTAGATCTATTATGTACATTCATTAAAAATGATAAAGAATAATGAAAAAAAAATTGAATGAGTAAGCACCAACATGCTCAGCTGTTAGACTGACACAAGCAGATATAACTAATATTGCACATTATCATGGTAGGCAAGATTCCCAACACACAGTTCTGATAATAATAATGACCTGTACATCAAACACCCCCCTCCCCTCAAATTAACACCTTCAGGCGTAAGTTGAATTCCTCACGTAAACTTTTATCAATTAAGTAAGCACCATGTGTAATTTCTTTTGTTATAAAACCTTACATTATTTCTTGGTTTTAATGTTACATTAAAATTTTGTAATGGAGGAACTTTGTAGACACTGCATTATCAAATATCAATTTGTTACAGCTTATTAACCTCTGAATAATTGTTAAATTCATTTTTTATATAAAAATGTGCAAGATTTATTGAAAAAAAAAAGAAAAAAAGAGATAAAATGTAATGTGCTTATAAAAATTAAGCAGTTTGATAATAGGAAGAATGTACATATATATAACTTTGTGAAATGTTCCTCATATTTTGAAAAACAGAATTGACAAATTATTCCAAACATGGAAATGAAACATCAGTTTCCAACAAATGTACACAAGAGGTCCATGGGACCTGTATTGCTGGCTTGAACCTCTACTCAAGTGATGATTCTAAAAAGGTCAAGAACACTCATTGTCACATGACCAGGTCACACTGGTCATTGAAATAGATTATAGGGTATACCAACAGACTACTGAGATGTCCACAGTGGTATACTTACAGTATATTGATAAGAACAAAAGTACTTATATGTTGATATAAAAAATGGCACACAGATATAAACTATAACTATTATTTTTTTCATAAAAAAAGCTTTAAAAAATCTTGGTACATTTTGTATTGGTCATTGACAAAACAGATTCTGATCTGTTTTGTTATCAAAAATCAATAAATAAAAGTAATAAAAACATGCAGTTATAAAAGCACATCTATACAAAACAATTCAACAGATTATCTGTCTCCACACAATATAATGATAGAAAGACATACCACCAGATCAAGCTGAGACAGACCGTATCTTTGATAGATTGACCTTATTTACCTCTAATAATGGAGCTCTACACCAAGTACCTACCACCAGGTGGAGCTGTTACATTGTCTGGTTTGAAGAGACATTGTGTACCTACCAACAGGTAGAGCTGTTACACTCTGATTTGGAGAGACATTGTGTACCTACCACCAGGTGGAGCTGTCACAATGGTTTATGAAATGACATTACCTTTATTTGTATCTACCACCAGGTGGAGCCCAAGCAGTGTCTGGTATTAAGTGACAACATGAAGATATATATACCACCAGGTGGAGCTGTATCAGTACAAAGTATGTATACAAATCTACCACTAGATGAAATTGTACCAGTACTTGGTATGTATCTACCACCAGGTGGAGCTGTACCGGTACTTGGTATGTATACATATCTACCTCCAGGTGGAGCTGCACCAGTACTTGGTATGTATCTACCACCAGGTGGAGCTGGACCAGTACTTGGTATGTATCTACCACTAGGTGGAGCTGTATCAGTACTTGTTATGTACACTATGTATCTACCACCAGGTGAAGCTGTACCAGTACTTGCTATGTATCTACCACTAGGTGGAGCTGTACCAGTACTTGGTATGTATACTATGTATCTACCACCAGGTGGTGCTGTACCAGTACTTGGGATTTATACTACGTATCTACCACCAGGTGGAGCTGTACCAGTACTTGGTATTTATCTACCACCAGGTGGAGCTGTACCAGTACTTGGTATGTATCTACCACCAGTTGGAGCTGTACCAGTACTTGCTATGTATCTACCACTAGGTGGAGCTGTACCAGTACTTGGTATGTATACTACGTATCTACCACCAGGTGGAGCTGTACCAGTACTTGGTATGTATACATATCTACCACCAGGTGGAGCTGTACCAGTACTTGCTATGTATCTACCACTCGGTGGAGCTGTACCAGTACTTGGTATGTATACTAGGTTTCTACCACCAGATGGAGCTGTACCAGTACTTGGTATGTATACTTCGTATCTACCACCAGGTGGAGCTGTACCAATACTTGGTATGTATACATATCTACCACCAGTTGAGCTGTACCAGTACTTGGTATGTATGCATATCTACCACCAGGTGGAGCTGTACCAATACTTGGTATGTATACATATCTACCACCAGGTGGAGCTGTACCAGTACGTGGTATGTATACATATCTACCACCAGGTGGAGCTGTACCAATACTTGGTATGTATACATATCTACCACCAGGTGGAGCTGTACCAATACTTGGTATGTATACATATCTACCACCAGGTGGAGCTGTACCAATACTTGGTATGTATACATATCTACCACCAGGTGGAGGTGTAACAGCACTTGGTATGTATACATATCTACCACCAGGTGAAGGTGTAGATAACGACTGGCAATTTTATCACTGCTAACTACAACAAGATCCTACTTTCATTAATCATGTCACAATTGATTGATCTTTGTAAGTTTGTACATAAACACATTTTTGATTAAATAAATCTGATGTTAATGGTAATAAACAACCTTATTACAGTACAAGATGAGAACAAACTAGAGGTAATGAGCTAATTGATGGGATTCTGTAAAACACCCTATTTTTGAGTATATTTCACTTCCTGAACAATGCCTTAAAGACTCAGTATTATTTAAATTCACAACTGAACATCATTTCATTTGATAGTAATAGTCATTATCTATAGAATTCATACCCAGGGTAGATCTAAATTGGAAAATAATTTCCCTGAAAATCAACAGAGAAATGAGACTCTCACAAAAACAGAGTGATTTACAGTATTAAAGATGTAAAAACATGTTGTACAAAATGCCTGAAGATACAATCTACTGCTTCACTGGCTTGGCCAATAACATAAAATAACACGATTTCTATATCTGATGAATGATCTTGCTTCTGATACATTCTCACAACTCACAATAGCCAGACTCTGTACACTAAACTCTCCACATAAGCAGACATTTCATCAATGCATTTTAAGTACCATCTCACAACAGATATACAATTCCAGAACCCAGGAATATTGCTCGAGTCTATACCACTTTGTGGTGTTTTCAGCACTTAGTTTTTATAGCACTGGTCTCCAATACATGGATGAAATGTTGGAAAAGGGGACTTTATCATTCACCAAATTAGGCCATGCCATCCGTTCAAAGAGTGTCACACACATTTTGCATTTATACATGTACTTGATTGTAGTCATCAGATTTGTGGTGTATTCACGCTGTCCTCACCAATCCCTGAAAGCCCAATATAACAGGGCTCTCATTGCCAGCACCTCCTGTGTTTACCTCCGGTCAGTCAAAACTGTCACCTTTTGTGACCAGTCAGTCAAACTGTCACCTTTTGTGACCAGTCAGTCAAACTGTCACCTTTTGTGACCAGTCTGTCAAACTGTCACCTTTTGTGACCAGTCAGTCAAACTGTCACCTTTTGTGACCAGTCAGTCAAACTGTCACCTTTTGTGACTATACATCTGTACATCTCTGTTTATCTCACTGATATCCTTTCCTTCACAACCTCAGTCTCAGCAATATAGCTTACACAACAACAATCTGTGATCATATAAAGTCTTTAATGCACTTAACGGGCAAGTCTGTTTCCAGTAAGTGCATGACATTCATTAACTTGAGAATAGTTTGATTCTTGTTTTGACATAGATTTGTATAATCTTTATCCTGTGACCTATAGATAATTTTATAAATAAAAATAATCTAGGTCAAAATTTGCACATTATTAACCCATGACCTCTAGGTACTCTGAAGAGCCACCAGGTTCAATGTTGGACTTAAGTGGCTGAGTATCGGATGTGTCGTCATTTTGTTCACCGGTGTCAGCTGACAGGAAGGTCTTCATATCATCATTGACTTCCTGGAATGTTGGCCTGTCGTTGGGTCTGTCTGTCCAGCATTGTACCATCATCACGTACCTAAAACATGAAATATACAAAATAGAACACTTTAAGTAACAAACAATTTTGTACTTCTTCCATACTTGTACCAATAATGAAATATGGGAAAACATCCAAAGTATTCTGATGTAATCTTCAGCTGGCTACAGCACTGCCAGTCTCCATAACTGTATTGTTTAGGAAACACAGCTGGCTACAGCACTGCCAGTCTCCGTAACTATTATTGTTTAGGAAACACAGCTGGCTACAGCACTGCCAGCCTCCATAACTGTATTGTTTAGGAAACACAGCTGGCTACAGCACTGCCAGTCTCCGTAATTGTATTGTTTAGGAAACACAGCTGGCTACAGCACTGCCAGTCTCCATAACTGTATTGTTTAGGAAACACAGCTGGCTACAGCACTGCCAGTCTCCGTAATTGTATTGTTTAGGAAACACAGCTGGCTACAGCACTGCCAGTCTCCATAACAGTATTGTTTAGGAAACACAGCTGGCTACAGCACTGCCAGTCTCTGTAATTGTATTGTTTAGGAAACACAGCTGGCTACAGCACTGCCAGTCTCCATAACTGTATTGTTTAGGAAACACAGCTGGCTACAGCACTGCCAGTCTCCATAACTATTATTGTTTAGGAAACACAGCTGGCTACAGCACTGCCAGTCTCCATAACTATTATTGTTTAGGAAACACAGCTGGCTACAGCACTGCCAGTCTCCATAACTATTATTGTTTAGGAAACACAGCTGGCTACAGCACTGCCAGTCTCCATAACTATTATTGTTTAGGAAACACAGCTGGCTACAGCACTGCCAGTCTCCATAACTATTATTGTTTAGGAAACACAGCTGGCTACAGCACTGCCAGTCTCCATAACTATTATTGTTTAGGAAACACAGCTGGCTACAGCACTGCCAGTCTCTGTAATTGTATTGTTTAGGAAACACAGCTGGCTACAGCACTGCCAGTCTCCATAACTGTATTGTTTAGGAAACACAGCTGGCTACAGCACTGCCAGTCTCCATAACTATTATTGTTTAGGAAACACAGCTGGCTACAGCACTGCCAGTCTCCATAACTATTATTGTTTAGGAAACACAGCTGGCTACAGCACTGCCAGTCTCCATAACTATTATTGTTTAGGAAACACAGCTGGCTACAGCACTGCCAGTCTCCATAACTATTATTGTTTAGGAAACACAGCTGGCTACAGCACTGCCAGTCTCCATAACTATTATTGTTTAGGAAACACAGCTGGCTACAGCACTGCCAGTCTCCATAACAGTATTGTTTAGGAAACACAGCTGGCTACAGCACTGCCAGCCTCCATAACTGTATTGTTTAGGAAACACAGCTGGCTACAGCACTGCCAGTCTCCATAACTATTATTGTTTAGGAAACACAGCTGGCTACAGCACTGCCAGTCTCCATAACAGTATTGTTTAGGAAACACAGCTGGCTACAGCACTGCCAGTCTCCGTAATTGTATTGTTTAGGAAACACAGCTGGCTACAGCACTGCCAGTCTCCATAACAGTATTGTTTAGGAAACACAGCTGGCTACAGCACTGCCAGTCTCCGTAATTGTATTGTTTAGGAAACACAGCTGGCTACAGCACTGCCAGTCTCCATAACAGTATTGTTTAGGAAACACAGCTGGCTACAGCACTGCCAGTCTCCATAACTATATTGTTTAGGAAACACAGCTGGCTACAGCACTGCCAGTCTCCATAACAGTATTGTTTAGGAAACACAGCTGGCTACAGCACTGCCAGTCTCTGTAATTGTATTGTTTAGGAAACACAGCTGGCTACAGCACTGCCAGTCTCTGTAATTGTATTGTTTAGGAAACACAGCTGGCTACAGCACTGCCAGTCTCTGTAATTGTATTGTTTAGGAAACACAGCTGGCTACAGCACTGCCAGTCTCCATAACTGTATTGTTTAGGAAACACAGCTGGCTACAGCACTGCCAGTCTCCATAACTATATTGTTTAGGAAACACAGCTGGCTACAGCACTGCCAGTCTCCATAACAGTATTGTTTAGGAAACACAGCTGGCTACAGCACTGCCAGTCTCCATAACAGTATTGTTTAGGAAACACAGCTGGCTACAGCACTGCCAGTCTCTGTAATTGTATTGTTTAGGAAACACAGCTGGCTACAGCACTGCCAGTCTCTGTAATTGTATTGTTTAGGAAACACAGCTGGCTACAGCACTGCCAGTCTCTGTAATTGTATTGTTTAGGAAACACAGCTGGCTACAGCACTGCCAGTCTCCATAACTGTATTGTTTAGGAAACACAGCTGGCTACAGCACTGCCAGTCTCCATAACTATATTGTTTAGGAAACACAGCTGGCTACAGCACTGCCAGTCTCCATAACTGTATTGTTTAGGAAACACAGCTGGCTACAGCACTGCCAGTCTCCATAACTGTATTATTTAGGAAACACAGCTGGCTACAGCACTGCCAGTCTCCATAACTATATTGTTTAGGAAACACAGCTGGCTACAGCACTGCCAGTCTCCATAACTGTATTGTTTAGGAAACACAGCTGGCTACAGCACTGCCAGCCTCCATAACAGTATTGTTTAGGAAACACAGCTGGCTACAGCACTGCCAGTCTCCATAACTGTATTGTTTAGGAAACACAGCTGGCTACAGCACTGCCAGTCTCCATAACTATATTGTTTAGGAAACACAGCTGGCTACAGCACTGCCAGCCTCCATAACTATTATTGTTTAGGAAACACAGCTGGCTACAGCACTGCCAGTCTCCGTAATTGTATTGTTTAGGAAACACAGCTGGCTACAGCACTGCCAGTCTCCATAACTATATTGTTTAGGAAACACAGCTGGCTACAGCACTGCCAGTCTCCATAACTGTATTGTTTAGGAAACACAGCTGGCTACAGCACTGCCAGCCTCCATAACTATTATTGTTTAGGAAACACAGCTGGCTACAGCACTGCCAGTCTCCATAACTATTATTGTTTAGGAAACACAGCTGGCTACAGCACTGCCAGTCTCCATAACTATATTGTTTAGGAAACACAGCTGGCTACAGCACTGCCAGTCTCCATAACAGTATTGTTTAGGAAACACAGCTGGCTACAGCACTGCCAGTCTCCATAACTGTATTGTTTAGGAAACACAGCTGGCTACAGCACTGCCAGTCTCCATAACTATATTGTTTAGGAAACACAGCTGGCTACAGCACTGCCAGTCTCTGTAATTGTATTGTTTAGGAAACACAGCTGGCTACAGCACTGCCAGTCTCTGTAATTGTATTGTTTAGGAAACACAGCTGGCTACAGCACTGCCAGTCTCTGTAATTGTATTGTTTAGGAAACACAGCTGGCTACAGCATTGCCAGTCTCCGTAATTGTATTGTTTAGAAAACACAGCTGACTACAGCACTGCCAGCCTCTGTACCCAGCACTGATAGGTATGGCTGGCTACAGCACTGCCTGCCTCCGTACCCAGCACTGATAGGTATGGCTGGCTACAGCACTACCAGCCTCCGTATCCAGCACTGATAGGTATGGCTGGCTACAGCACTGCCAGCCTCCGTATCCAGCACTGATAGGTATGGCTGGCTACAGCACTGCCAGCCTCCGTACCCAGCACTGATAGGTATGGCTGGCTACAGCACTGCCAGCCTCTGTAACCAGCACTATTTAGTAAACTGGCTAAAAAAAAATTAAGAATAAATGAAAAAAGGAATTTAGCAAAAAGTGAAAGGCAAAAAAATGGGTTTAAAAAATATACACGGTAGCTTCAATTTATCTGGCGATTTTTAGGATATGGGAGAGTTCGAGAGATGTGTTTGAAATGAGAATTGGGGAGAGATGTTAGGGGAGATTAGGTTTGTAAAGTGGGGTTGGAGAGAGGACCTTTATTGAGGAGATGAATTCTATCATAGTCAACATTACTAAGGACTTCATAATATCAGTCCAAAAATATGAAGGGCACAACTAGAGACTAAGGGGAACCTACCTCTTGAATCTGAGAGATCGTTTAAGTACTTTTCAAGAATTAGTGATAAGAAACTCCTTTGAGAAAATCCAAAATGTCCACCTGTCAGCCATTTTATTTTACTGATCAGTCCAAAAATCGAACATGCACACATGAAATTGAGCCCCATCCTAAACTTTTCAAGAAATGGTGATAACAAAAATTGTTTACGGATGGATGGACCACAGACGTAGTATTTATTTTTAACTATTTTAATTTTTAACACATAAGACAAAAAATGAGCCCTCCAACCCCAATTACAACAGTAGACAAAATAAATACTCCCCTCCCCCAATTACTATAGCTATACATACAATGATTCTGGACATTGTCGTGGTTTCTTAAGATGATGACCTCCTTCTAGGTAATTCTTCAAGTCTTTTGATTCCACATCTGGATAGGGAGTTACTCCCCTTGTCAACAGTTCCCATAGTAACACACCATATGACCACTACAAGAAAAAGTTTCAGTAAAGAATGGAAGTTATGATGGTTTACCACACATGTAAATTGATAATGACAGGAGAAGCAACTAAATCACCTCACAGACTCATCGTGGATCCTTAAGCTGATCAATGATTCATTCACCATGGAAAAATTAAATGCTCAAAGATTTAAAAAAAAATTAAATGTTCACAAGTACCTATACATTATATCATTATCTTAAATATTTAAGATATTTAGAATAAAAGAAAAATAAATTTCAGCATCTCAATAAAATAGTACAGATCTGTGTCACGACTCTGAAGATATCCCAATAAAATAGTACAGATCTGTGTCACGACTCTGAAGATATCCCAATAAAATAGTACAGATCTGTGTCACGACTCTGAAGATATCCCAATAAAATAGTACAGATCTGTGTCACGACTCTAAAGATATCCCAATAAAATAGTACAGATCTGTGACTCTGAAGATATCCCAATAAAATAGTACAGATCTGTGTCACGACTCTGAAGATATCCCAATAAAATAGTACAGATCTGTGTCACGACTCTGAAGATATCCCAATAAAATAGTACAGATCTGTGACTCTGAAGATATCCCAATAAAATAGTACAGATCTGTGTCGCGACTCTGAAGATATCCCAATAAAATAGTACAGATCTGTGACTCTGAAGATATCCTTATTAAACAGTACAGATCTGTGACTCTGAAGATATCCCAATTAAATATTCTTGATATATCTACACAAATCACTTGTCTTGTCATTAAGACAGTTTCTCAGATAATTTGATTATCAGTCACTAACTTCAGTTCATCATTAAAACCAAGAAGTTCCTTTTAAACCATGGCCACTTACCACATCTGTTTTATGAGAGAAGACAAAGGTATCGATGGCCTCCGGTGCCATCCACTTGGTCACAATTTTATTTCTGTCCTCGTCAGCCTTGCAGTAGTCTATCGTGTAAAGATCGGTAACACCAAAACCTGCCACACGTACCACCTTGTCATCCGTCAACCTGTGTGAAATTATACAGTTATAAATCTTTAATTACAAACATAACTTTACAAAACGGCTGGTATCCTAACGTTATGATGTTTTATACTTACAGACAGTTACGGGCAGCCAGGTCACCATGGACGATATGTAGACTCTCAAGGTAAACCATCGCCTCGGAGATCTGCTGAGCCATCTCCAGTAGCTGTATCACTGTAATGTTCTGTAAACAAATGAATCACTCATCATTTGAGAAATGTTAAGATTGTTACAGATTATCTAAAGTGATCCTGCCCCTAGTAAAACAAGTCAAGCATCAGACTAACTGATTTTACATCAGAAATTACACATCCTGTTAGAATCATGAAATATTTATCACTGCATGACATCTAACAAATCCATGTATCATTGCTATTAAGTGTGAAAGTAATAATCAAACTGCTGACATCATTATCACAGCATATTGTAACATTGAATAACTCTCTTGATGATAGCTGTTCCATTTATCAAAAAACAAGAGGCCCAAGGGTTTAACGGTAATCTGACTACAAACACTTTCAGCAGGGAGAAGTGTTATTTTTTCTACTTTGAATGAAATCTTACTAAGAAGCTGTTTTCCATGATGCAGATGGTAATTTTGGTGATGTAAAAAATCAAAGAAATCAGGAGGGATACTTAAGAGGAAACATCCCACATCTCATTGCAGTTAGTTCTGAGATCAGCCCTATTATGGAAGGGGACCACCATTAATTTGAAACAAACCTTTGCAGGATCCCTGACATAGGTTTTGAGATCACCCCTCTCGAGGTATGGGATCACCATGTGAGGTTCCTCAGCAGCCGACAGACACATCCCCATGAGAGGGAGGACATTTGGATGTTGTAGATCCTTTAGGACCAAACACTTGGACAGGAATGCATCAACTGTTGTGTTGTCTGTATTACATCCTGTAAAATAAGGTCAAAAGGTTAACTTACAACTGTCCTGTATGACACGGTCAAAAGGTTAAGTTATAACAGTCCTATAAGGAAAGGTCAAAAGGTTAACTTACAACTGTCCTGTATTACAAGGTTAGAAGGTTAATCACGACTGTCCAATAATACAAGGTCAAAAGGTTAGGTTACAACTGTCCTATATGACAAGGTCAAAAAGTTAACTTACATCAAATGAAAAAATACAACACACAAGGAAAACCTATTAGTGTGACATCTAGTACAACACACATAGAAACCCTTTTGAACTGACACCTACCCAAAAGTGACTTGACAGCTACATCAGTTTTCTTCTCCTCGCTATCAGCCCCTACACACGTTGTGTATGTGGCTTGGTAAGTGTTACCAAAGACTCCTACAAAAAAAAGTGTTTGCATAAATTCAATCATATTTACAGGATTTACTTTTCATCAATATCTTATTTCATCCAAAATGCAATTACAACTTTTACAAAAATCCAACTTGTCAAAGATGTAGACTACACAACAAGGACAAAATATATGGCACACATGTACACAAAGTTTTGTTATTGATAATAGACAAAAATTTTCACATGAGAAAGAGAATGCTGTAAAACACCCTACCTTTACCCACAAGTTCCCCAATGTCCAGTTTTGACCGTGGTATGAGAAAGTCACTGATACTCTGACGGGCAGCTTCATCCTCGATCCTGGCTAGAAGCTCACTGATATAGGGTCCAGAATCTGACAAAGGTCAGAGGTCAGTATCACTTACAAGGTCAAACCATTAATGAAATATTATAATATGTAATTTTCCAAAACTAGTAAAATATTTGAAGAATATGAAAGTTCAACTACAGAAGCTTTGATGAAATTAAACTCATCACGACATCTTACTGAATTTGAACTAGGAAAAAACAGCATCAGTAGCAGTATTCCCTACTACCAATGTTTTTTTTAACCCAAAATTTCATCTTGTACCCGCTATTTTTGAAATTCTGTAGCTGCAAAGGGTACAAAAACATTAGAAAATATACATTTTTACCCTCAAATTTGAGCTAAATTGGAAATCTTGATTAAGAGAAATTTTGTATAAAAAAGATAACTCAGTTTAAGAATTATTAATATGTGGTGATGAACCTGTGAAAGTATGATTCTGTTTTGAAATATATAAGAATTAAAAAACACACTTTTATTTCAATACTTGATAAATAAAAAAAATTTCAATACTTGTATAATGATCCAGTCTAATAATGAGTTTACTAATGAAGGAATACTCTTCGAGTATTACAGAATTTCCCCGAAATCAGTATCTTAACAAAACAGTTTTCCTCCTGCGAATGTTCTACCTGGGATCTGTCCATTCATGTCTGCTTTAACAGACACATGGTTAAGTCCGATATCTGCCTCCTCGTTCTTTCCGTCGTAGTCCTTTAACATCTCTGGGATACCACTTTTGCTGGGTCCATTCTTACGCTGGCGTCGGATGATACAGATAGCTAGAAGGGTGATGATAGCGATGATTGGGAGGACCACACCAAGAATGATACCTAAGGCAATCGGCTTCTCCTCTGTCTCATTGTCAAAGTAGTTAAGGTAGCCTACATCCTTCCTCAGAAATCCAATCTTTATCTGTAACAAAGGTTGATTAAATCATAAATAATAATTTCTATTGGTTTATAGTAATATGAATGCCATTAGCCACTATTGTAGAACAGTTAATTGTGAAATGAATGCTGTATAGAAAAGTTACACATTAAACCTCTGAGAAACTGTAGAGGTTCAATTGTGTTTTGCTGCTGGCTTTTTATCACCTTGGAAAAATCCAGGGTCAAGAAAAGTCTGTAAGAATTTCATATATAGCAATTAATGTACAGGAGGAAATTCAGAGATCTGCCATTGTCAAGGCCCTATGGTCAGTACCTCATCAATCACCATCTTAAGCACAGAGCACACATCATCATGAAATACTTTCTCTACTAGTCTCAATCATACACATAAACATCCTGTACCTTATCCTCACAAATCAGATCCTTATGACCTTATGACTTTTGCTTTTGGATCAATATGATTATTCACTGATTTAAAATGTATATAAAATGATACTTTCTGAATATTACACCATAACAATTTTTGACCAGTCAGCTATCCAAACAGGTATACCCGTAAGCGCTGCTCTCCGAGTTTCAGCTATTTGTTTTTTTATCCTTATTTAAACATCAGGTGGAAAGCCTCTTAATCACAATTTTTAACAGTTCCATAAAATTCTTTTCATGCTGGTCACTCCAATAAAATTATGTTGACATTTTTCTGTGTGTGAAATTATCAACAAGACAAAATATTTACCAGGACCAGTGCATTTCCTTTAGAGTCAATTCCGTCAGGGTTTTCAGGAGGTTCACAGCTGATGGTAGAGTCCGATGTTACAGGGTTCATACATTCATTCTGACCCACCACAACCTTCACATCTTTAATGAGTTGACTCATCCCTGCAAACCGACCTTCAATAACCAGGGGCTTGTCACCAATATACTTTTTTTCTGAGTTTTTTCCAGAGAACCTTTCCACTAACGGGTCAGGATAGTAAAGGAGAGGTCCCATGTTCTCTCGCTTGGAGATGTTACGCCAGGTGGTGACCCCATCAAGGTTAAACCCATAGTGCACCTCTCTTGGGTTGGTCTCTGTCACATTCTCTCCGAGGAAGTTCAGACGTGGGGTATGACAAAGCAGCCATTTGTTCATGTAGTTCTCAATGTGATGGCACGGATGTCCCTGTAATATAAGGATCGTAATTAACAATCATTGTACACATAGAGATTGACTGCTGACACAGGACATGTGAGTCACATAGAAACTGATTGCTCACACAGGACATGTGAGTCACATAGAAACTGACTGCTGACACAGGACATGTGAGTTACATAGAGACTGATTGCTGACACAGGACATGTGAGTCACACAGAGACTGATTGCTCACACAGGACATGTGAGTCACATAGAAACTAATTGCTGACACAGGACATGTGAGTTACATAGAGATTGATTTCTCACACAGGACATGTGAGTCAAATAGAGATTGATTGCTGACACAGAACAACATCAGGAAGTAACAAACATTATGACATTTTATCATACTTTATTCTACCACTTTGTTGGTGCTATAGTTTATATTAACAAGGACATCCTGAAGAACTCTCCTACAACATAACATATTTCATCTCTTATCTATTTAATGAAACAAAAGTTATGTTGACTCTTGCTATAACCTAAAAATCAATTATATTCATTTCCTGATGAAGAGGAACATGATGATCAAGGAGTATTCTCTGATTCATGCTAAAATGTTTTTCATGGAAGAAAGTGGAATCAAATAAAGACAGATGACAGCCTACATCTAAAACAGTGCTGGCCAAAGGTCATCTGACTTGTTATCAGATTGATTTTTTTTATCTGACTATGACAAATTGTCTGTATTTGCTGTGTAAACCTCTAGCATTTTTATAAGAATTGAAAGCCATGTTATACGCCCTCTACCACTCTTTGTAACGTTATGATTTATACTACAGTACAAACTAAAATGTGGGCATGTAACATTTTACCATCAACCCCATCTGTGTAACATTCCTCTACATACTTACTACATACACATGTATATTCTACATTCTCTTACTGAAAATGGAAATGAGTGAGTTGTGTATAATTCATGATTTATCTTTGACAAAATGACTTCATTATGTGAGGGTACACATGTGTATGTATATATCTAGATATTTTTACACCCGTTTATCAACATTTGGATGGTACTATTTTATATATGACTGAGACGGGGAAATTTCACATGCCACCCAGCGCTAGATTTTTCTGACACATCCAAATTGTTCGGTATCTTTACATGACAATTTTTTGTCAATCAGAAGGACACCACATCCCATTGTCTTTTTTAAGTATGATTGATAGGAAAGAGATTTAGAAAAAAAATGTTTTAAAGAATTTACACAAGAAAACTACTTGACTTAATATTTTAGTAATTTTGACATAAATCACGAACTCATACATAATTTTATATACATCTGATGATAATCAACAACAAACATTACATAATTGTCTCCCTTCCTCGTGTGACTTACAGCACGGGATACATCTGATGATAACCAACAACAAACAATACATAATTGTCTCCCTTCCTCGTGTGACTTACAGCACGGGGTACATCTGATGATAACCAACAACAAACAATACATAATTGTCTCCTTTCCTCGTGTGACTTACAGCAGGAGGGTACATCTGATGATAACCAACAACAAACATTACATAATTGTCTCCCTTCCTTGTGTGACTTACAGCAGGAGGGTACATCTGATGATAACCAACAACAAACAATACATAATTGTCTCCCTTCCTTGTGTGACTTACAGCATGGGGTACATCTGATGATAATCAACAACAAACATTACATAATTGTCTCCCTTCCTCGTGTGACTTACAGCAGGAGGGTACATCTGATGATAACCAACAACAAACATTACATAATTGTCTCCCTTCCTCGTGTGACTTACAGCACGGGGTACATCTGATGATAACCAACAACAAACAATACATAATTGTCTCCCTTCCTCGTGTGACTTACAGCACGGGGTACATCTGATGATAACCAACAACAAACAATACATAATTGTCTCCCTTCCTTGTGTGACTTACAGCAGGAGGGTACATCTGATGATAACCAACAACAAACAATACATAATTGTCTCCCTTCCTTGTGTGACTTACAGCACGGGGTACATCTGATGATAATCAACAACAAACATTACATAATTGTCTCCCTTCCTCGTGTGACTTACAGCACGGGGTACATCTGATGATAACCAACAACAAACATTACATAATTGTCTCCCTTCCTCGTGTGACTTACAGCAGGAGGGTACATCTGATGATAACCAACAACAAACAATACATAATTGTCTCCCTTCCTCGTGTGACTTACAGCAGGAGGGTACATCTGATGATAACCAACAACAAACATTACATAATTGTCTCCCTTCCTCGTGTGACTTACAGCAGGAGGGTACATCTGATGATAATCAACAACAAACATTACATAATTGTCTCCCTTCCTCGTGTGACTTACAGCACGGGGTACATCTGATGATAACCAACAACAAACAATACATAATTGTCTCCCTTCCTCGTGTGACTTACAGCAGGAGGGTACATCTGATGATAACCAACAACAAACATTACATAATTGTCTCCCTTCCTTGTGTGACTTACAGCAGGAGGGTACATCTGATCGTTGACCTCTACAAAGAACTCTGGACGTTGTATCATCCCCAGTCTCTCTCCTATCACAGTCAGTGTAATACCTCCACTGTAAAATAAACATGGTCAACAATTATCACAACATCTGAAAAAGCATTTACACAGGTTTGAACAACAAAGATAGTTATATACATACTATAGATAAACATGGACAGCCTCTGTTACTTAGATATACATGGCAAACTTACCTCTCAATAAAGACTTCATGTTAAATGTATAATTACCTGAGAATGTGAAAAAGCTAACTATGGAAAAGCCACTCTTTTAACACAGGAATTTGATCATGGACAACAAAGATATCTGGGTATGTATGTACATACTATCAGATACCTAACATGGACAGCCTCTGTTACCTGACGATGTAGATATACAGAAACCTAACTATCTGGGTATGTTGGAATGTCACCTTATTACCTGACTGTAGGAATCAGAAACCTAACTATCTGGGTATGGAGGAATGTCACCTTATTACCTGACGATGTAGGAATCAGAAACCTAACTATCTGGGTATGGAGGAATGTCACCTTATTACCTGACGATGTAGGAATCAGAAACCTAACTATCTGGGTATGTTGGAATGTCACCTTATTACCTGACGATGTAGGAATCAGAAACCTAACTATCTGGGTATGTTGGAATGTCACCTTATTACCTGACGATGTAGGAATCAGAAACCTAACTATCTGGGTATGTTGGAATGTCACCTTATTACCTGACGATGTAGGAATCAGAAACCTAACTATCTGGGTATGGAGGAATGTCACCTTATTACCTGACGATGTAGGAATCAGAAACCTAATTACCTGAGGATGTAGCAGTGAGTCACTAATTACCCAAGGATGCAGCAGTGAGTCACTAATTACCCAAGGATGCAGCAGTGAGTCACTAATTACCCAAGGATGCAGCAGTGAGTCACTAATTACCCAAGGATGCAGCAGTCAGTCACTAATTACCTAAGGATGTAGCAGTGAGTCACCTAATTACATGGGATGTAGCATTGAGTCACCTAATTCCCTAAGGATGTAGCAGCTGGTCACCTAATTACCTGAGGATGTAGCAGTGAGACACTTAATTACCTGAGGATGTAGCAGTGAGACACCTAATTACCTGAGGATGTAGCAGTGAGACACTTAATTACCTGAGGACGTAGCAGTGAGTCACCGAATTATCTGCGATGTAACGGTGAGTCACCTAATTACCTAAGGATGAAGCAGTGAGACACTTAATTACCTGAGGATGTAGGAATCAGTCACCTAATTACCTGAGGATGTAGCAGCGAGTCATCTATTACCTGAGGATGTAGCAGTGAGTCACCTAATTACCTGAGGATGTAGGAATCAGTCACCTTAATACCTGGGATGAAGCAGTGAGTCACCTAATTACCTGAGGATGTAGCCATGAGTCACCTAATTACCCGGGGATGTAGCAGTGAGTCACCTAATTACCTGAGGATGTAGCCATGAGTCACCTAATTACCCGGGGATGTAGCAGTGAGTCACCTAATTACCCGGGATGTAGCAGTGAGTCACCTAATTACCCGGGGATGTAGCAGTGAGTCACCTAATTACCCGGGGATGTAGCAATGAGTCACCTAATTACCCGGGGATGTAGCAGTGAGTCACCTAATTACCCGGGATGTAGCCAGGAAACACTAATTACCTGAGAATACTCTTGGTGGGCTCTATGGCAGTGATGGTAGGATCCTCCACATAGGTAAACTTTGGCCTGAGTAGACGTTTATATCCTCCAAAGCTGACTTCAACCTCTACTGTGTCCTTCGCAGCAATATGTTGGGAAGTGATACACTCCAAGATGGTGGCATTCCTCCTGAAAACCATTCACAAATTACCAGGGTGTTTTAGGAAAGACATTTGATAACTTTAAAATACCAAATAGTGCAATCCTAGCCTAGGTTGATTTTCAAATCAATTGAAATTTTGAATATGAAATATTTTCACAGATGAAGATTTGAAAACATAAACTATGAACATTATTTGAATGTACAATTTCAAATAGATATGAATTTACGAGCAGGTGTTACAGGTATAACAGGAAAGTGGTTGTAGGCATGTTACTGCCTGTCATTGATGTTAAGTAGGATATGACTTTTAAGTGGTGAATATGGTGAGAAACTTTTGCCACAATTTTGATTTCATTTATCTCAATTTGATAGAATAGAACATACTAAGGACGAGGTGAAAGATGAAAATGAACTGAAGTGTCCTAGAACAATAAAACAATCATCTGATTCCAGGTCCTCATTTGATACTGTTAACCTAGACTGTTACCTTCGGACATCACAGGGACTGCCCCCAATGTCCACCGTGGTCTTGGTCCCAGTATCCAGGTTCATTCCAGTGATGGTGATTCGGGTCCCTCCTGACTTGGGACCCATTTCTGGTCTCAGCCTGTCTACTGTGGGGTCCTGTGGTTGATATTATCATAATATTATAGTTCAATGTGTGAAGTCCTTGATTGTTTTGGTGAAGAAGAACCAAAAAATGTTAAAACCAGTACAAGTTTAGAACCTATAAATTATTCTGTAAACCTTTTATGTTCACAGATGATTTACTATCATAAATTTTATAATAAAAACAGTCACAAAAGTTCAGCATTGTAAGTGAAGAGAGTTGCAAACACTGCTAACTTGTGATGCAAATTATTGTGAATATTTGTCGGTCCGACAGTAAGCTGGCCCATCAGCAGTTAAAATCAGCTAGAACACAGAATGTTCTTTTTTTTGTCATTTCTGATGGGTCCACCTGACACACCACAGTAACTGTAGGTGACTTACTAGAATCTATGTGATTTTTTAAAACACATACCACAAATTCAAACGTTCCTTCTGACTCAGTTGTGTACTGATTGTCAACATTCACCAGGATTTTACCCACTTGTGCTGTAGGTGTAGGCTCTGTTTCACAGCGAAATCTGTTATAATGAAATATGTGTAAGTATCACTTCATATAACTTATTGTATTGATTAACGTTTCTGAACTTAACTCTATGGAATTACCCTACTTAACTTACTATATGGAATTACCCTACTTAACATAATTCTGTGGAAATTACCCTACTTAACTTACTATATGGACTTACCCTACTAAACTTAACTCTATGGAATTACCCTACTTAACTTACTATATGGAATTACCCTACTAAACTTAACTCTACGGAATTACCCTACTTAACTTACTATATGGAATTACCCTACTACACTTAACTCTATGGAATTACCCTACTAAACTTAACTCTATGGAATTACCCTACTACACTTAACTCTATGGAATTACCCTACTACACTTAACTCTATGGAATTACCCTACTACACTTAACTCTATGGAATTACCCTACTACACTTGACTCTATGGAATTACCCTATTAAACTTAACTCTATGGAATTACCCTAATAAACTTAACTCTGTGGAATTACCCTATTAAACTTAACTCTATGGAATTACCCTACTAAACTTAACTCTATGGAATTACCCTACTACACTTAACTCTATGGAATTACCCTACTACACTTAACTCTATGGAATTACCCTACTACACTTAACTCTATGGAATTACCCTACTACACTTAACTCTATGGAATTACCCTACTACACTTAACTCTATGGAATTACCCTACTACACTTAACTCTATGGAATTACCCTACTACACTTAACTCTATGGAATTACCCTACTACACTTAACTCTATGGAATTACCCTACTACACTTAAATCTATGGAAATTACCCTACTACACTTAACTCTATGGAATTACCCTACTACACTTAACTCTATGGAATTACCCTACTATACTTAACTCTATGGATATTACCCTACTTAACTTTCTAAATGGATTACCCTCGCCAACCTTAACGTCAAGGATAACTGAATAACCATTTGATCACCCAATGTTGATTTACCCTATGAATTACCAAACTTCACTTACCCTATTGATGGCTCAAAATGCTCTGGATGGACTGTACATCTAACACCGGCTACTTCTACACCACCCTGCAGGTCAGTGTAAGCTTTCCCCAGATTGATCCCAGTCACCGAGATGTTTGTTTTGCCTTGGATTGGTCCAGTGTTTGGATTAAACTAAAATATCACATAAAATATCAAATTAAGTTTTCATCACACAACAAAGAAATATCTTTCCATAACTCTCATGATTTTTTTCTAGAATATATGTACTGTGTTTATACTGTAACAAACTCATCAACATATTATGTCTGACCCATGAGATGGGCTTATTACAGGACAACAGAATCATTCTTTTATTGAATAGTATTAAACAGCAATGTGCAGACTTATTACCATGCATGGCCTCATTGTCATATAGATACAGCACTTAGTATTAAATTTTCTACATAAATTCTCAGCTCATAACAACAGGGAAATACTTTCCTATATATACTTACCCTGAGTATCTTTGGGTTGGGGCAGGTTGATGACCTATCCAGCCAGACACCAGCACAGTTCTTCTGTAAGGAGCATTCATCCCCACACCATCCACACTCGTACTCAGGGTCCATACTAAGACACTGACCACAGTTGGTCACCATCAGGTTACACTTGTAGATCCGCACTGTAACACAAAGAGAAAATAATAAGTGGATTATAGGCTGGGTTAATCTGAGTCTCAATGCAGTGGCTACCTCACTGAACATCATGCTGGAGGTCCATGTTATCTTATCTAGAACAATTCGGGTGTAGTGTACCATGACAACAAAGGACGGTCCTCAATTTAAGCTTCCTCAGAGACACAAGCTACCTAAGGCACCCCCTACAATTATTAGTATACCAATCTTACCTACCATGCCAGCGGTCAGGTAGGAAGCAATCAGATCAATGATGATGTCCAAGAGAGGAAACCTTGGGGTTGTTAATCATAACTTATAAAGACACCAGCAGTGTATTAATCTGACCAAATCTGATACTCATACCACGTGTTGTACAGTGGTAGTAAGTCATACTGACTGTCCAATGGAAAGCTTTCTTACCTGTGATACCACGTGGGTTGTCGAACGGAAAGTCTTGTGGACCCCATGTCACCTGGAACTTGGCCGTTACATATGCGAAATCGGCAAGGAATGAAAACTGGAAAAATAAACAGTAATTTCTGAAGCATTTTTGTCCATTATGTTCTAATGTAAAAGAGATAGATACTGGCGTGTCTGTTGTGTATGTTTTACTGGTGATCTCAATGTTTCAAATTCTTTATTTTGACACAAATATTAAAGTGACTAAATACAAATCACGCCTGCAACCATGTGTACCGGGTCACAGGTGAGTAGAGAAGAAGGTTCCTACTATAATCGGAGTCTGATTTTGAGATGTACACAATACTGACTTACCTGAACTGGGTCACAGGTGAGGAGAGTTGATCGAAAGGTTCCTACAACAACCTGAGTCTGATTCAGATACTGGAAGTTACACTTGATGTTGTCTGTCTGGCCCGACTGAAACATATGTGTATAAAAAATTCAGCACTTGTTCACAATCTCAGGACAAACATCAGTTTCAATGTGAAGTGACGGGGGAAAAAATAACTAGCATCATAAAAAAAAACATTATACATTTGAAATGTAACAGTTGCTTGGTCAAGAAAACTAATTATAGCCAGTACATGTTATGTATAACCAAGATGTAGCCATTACCTGTAAATTGACAACTCCAACAGCGATCTGTTTGGACTCCCCGGAGTGAACCACGATATCAGTATCCAATGATGGACTGTCAATCATGGGACAAGCGTTAACATCAGTCACTGGAGCAGACTGTAAATATATAAATGAGCAATATAATCAGACAGGAAGTAACATTGTTGTACTACTTAGTATCATTTATTATTATTGTATTAATCTCATATCCTGGTAATGCCGTTGCTCGGCTTTAGCTGTTTTAACACAGCTCACACTGTACTTACCCATGAAGTTACACTTTCAGCTCAGCTGTAGATGGTTTAACACAGTTCACACTGTACTTACCCGTGAAGTTACACTTCCAGCTCGGCTTTAGCTGTTTTAACACAGCTCACACTGTACTTACCCGTGAAGTTACACTTCCAGCTCTGCTGTAGATGGTTTAACACAGCTGAAACTGTACTTACCCCTGAAGTTACACTTCCAGCTCGGCTGTAGATGGTTTAACACAGCTCACACTGTACTTACCCGTGAAGTTACACTTCCAGCTCGGCTGTAGATGGTTTAACACAGCTCACACTGTACTTACCCGTGAAGTTACACTTCCAGCTCGGCTGTAGATGGTTAAACACAGCTCACACTGTACTTACGCGTGAAGTTACACTTCCAGCTCGGCTGTAGATGGTTTAACACAGCTCACACTGTACTTACCCGTGAAGTTACACTTCCAGCTCGGCTGTAGATGGTTTAACACAGCTCACACTGTACTTACGCGTGAAGTTACACTTCCAGCTCGGCTTTAGATGGTTTAACACAGCTCACACTGTACTTACCCGTGAAGTTACACTTCCAGCTCGGCTGTAGATGGTTTAACACAGCTCACACTGTACTTACCCGTGAAGTTACACTTCCAGCTCGGCTGTAGATGGTTTAACACAGCTCACACTGTACTTACGCGTGAAGTTACACTTCCAGCTCGGCTGTAGATGGTTTAACACAGCTCACACTGTACTTACGCGTGAAGTTACACTTCCAGCTCGGCTGTAGATGGTTTAACACAGCTCACACTGTACTTACCCGTGAAGTTACACTTCCAGCTCAGCTGTAGATGGTTTAACACAGCTCACACTGTACTTACCCGTGAAGTTACACTTCCAGCTCGGCTGTAGATGGTTAAACACAGCTCACACTGTACTTACCCCTGAAGTTACACTTCCAGCTCGGCTGTAGATGGTTTAACACAGCTCACACTGTACTTACCCGTGAAGTTACACTTCCAGCTCGGCTGTAGATGTTTAACACAGCTTACAGTGTACTTACCCCTGAAGTTACACTTCCAGCTCTGCTGCAGCTGTTAGTGTCATGATGCCATTCACAGGAGAAGTTACTGCTGGTACAGGTGGTACAGCTGTAAAACGCACATAAAAGCTACCAGGTAATTGTAATGTTAGGGTCATCCTAATATCATTAATTAATTATGATATACAGATTATTAAACTTTTCTGTTACTGATATTGTATAATAAAAGTAACAGAGACACCAACACTTTTTATCTGAGCTTGGTTGAAGACGATGAAAGATAAAAATGGTGTTGAATATTATAATTACTTATAATTGTTTGTGATCATCTTCGACACACAGTAGACTTACTTTTTGTGAGGTCGACAGTCAAACACAGGAACACTTCGCTTCACCACCGCTCTTCCCTCTACATGAAATTCTACCTGGACGTCTGTGTAGTCTGTACCAAGATAAAGCAGCTATGTTGTTTAGTATGAGGTAACAAAATATTGTTATAAGTATATACTTACCTATTACAAGATAAAGTGTGACCACCCCCCCTCCCCCTCCTCCCCCAATTTTTAGTTTTCTATAGAAGAATTAGAGAATACCTCGCCATTTCTGATTGGTATTGCTTAACCCCTGTTTCATTTTGTTTCAGAGTTGAGAGATGCTGAAGTATAAGTGTTGTGGGTCACTAATATGTTTGGTATCAGTTAAATACATGTCACCCTTACAATGACTAAACTAATCAAGTTAAAGAAAAGTAAATAGAAATATTTAAGTTGGTCGTACTGAGAAATATTTAAGTTGGTCGTACTGAGAAATATTTAAGTTGGTCGTACCGAGAAATATTTAAGTTGGTCGTACCGAGAAATATTTAAGTTGGTTGTACCGAGAAATATTTAAGTTGGTCGTACTGAGAAATATTTAAGTTGGTCGTACCAAGAAATATTTAAGTTGGTCATACCAAGAAATATTTAATTAACATATGAAATACATATGATTTCTCTTGCATCACAAAATTTGATAAAATCATTCCCTAGAGAAATATAAACCTTAAACTGTTCTGTGATAACTTGTAAAGGTACAAAATTCTATTCAGCAACTTCTATTACTTTTTTTTCTAAGGTAAGACTTCCTCCAGGGGAGATAACCTTTTCCAAATTGTTTGGGCATTCTTTGAAAGAGATACGGAACACCTTTTCATAAATTTTTAGGGAGGCATTTGGTTATGATAAGGGGAGATAACCAATCAATTTGTTAAAGTCATAAAAGTGTTTAGTAGCATTAAAGGGGTGATAACTTTTAATGTAATCATTAGAGTGATATAACATTGTGATAAGGGGAGATAACCTTTTTTGTAACTGTTAGGGTGATATAACATTGTGGTAAGGGGAGATATGTTTTTTTTTGTTACTGTTTGGGTGATATTACCTTGTGGTAAGGGGAGATAACCTTTTTGAGTAGTTTAGGTGCTATTTGGTTGTGATAAAAGGAGATAACATTAGAATAAAGCCAATTAATATTTACATCATTATCAATTAATTTCTCACAAACCTATCAATATTAACAATATAACCATCTTATTTCTCACAAACCAATCAATATTAAAATATTCACTAACAGATTTCTCCTACAACATCCCACAGGTTTATAAAAGGTCATAACATTCTAACTCGATACTAATCTGATGTAACACATTCCCCTGAAGTACAAGTACCCTCTGGGTAACTCCACAATTCCATGTTAATCACACGCTTCATGTAAAGAGAAAATTTGATGATATGGTTTTAATTTAACAATCCATTACAACCTTTATTAATAATCAACTGAACTAAGAGGGAGAAAGGTAATTACCACGAGCACTTTATTTCTAATAACTTTTCTTCGTTTCTTTTCTATATTACATCCTTTTTACCATTTTTTCTGCTATACATCTAAAAATACTTCATTAAAATTTCTAATGAATCACACCAAATTCAATTATATTATATCATGTTCAAAAACAGGGTTTATATATTACTGAAATCTTGATTAAATATTTTACTGGCAATATGGCTTCCTTTGTGGATACAGAATTCATTTGATCTGGTGACCAAATTCCTATGATCTATCCAGCATCACTATTACACATGCCCTGCTTGTATCCAACGTTATCAATAAAGTATCCTTATTTTTCAATTCTGTGATCCCAAATATTCTAAAACCTGATTTTAAGTAAAATCTTAGCAACATTGCAGCTGTCAACGCTGTCTCTCTGTTGTGACTTTTCATTGTAGGCAAGACAAAAACTAAAACTAATTTTACAATTTCTTGTTTTAACTTTATGCATAAAATGGTAAAAGCAATGAACCTAGATAAATTTAAATGAAATTTTCCAATTTTCAATGTAATTGGAATATTCCTTGATATTTTATCTGCCTATGAGGGTGAAATGACAGTTTAATCAATAGGTAAAATCAGATGGAATTCCCCACAGAATCGACAATTCATTGTTAGATTTTAGCATTGTAAGTGTAAAAGTTGCTCAGTGCATTTGATATGATATATGAGGTTTTTGACAGTATTACTAAACAAGAAATATATGGCTTTATTTCAGTGTGATCTGTAGCTGAAATTTTCTCAATTTGAGGTGTGGATTACTTTAAAGTACTAGAAAGTTTGCCTCAGTAAAGCACAGAGACCATTAAAACAGATTTCTGAATACATCATTCTGAGAAAGCATGATTAATTATTTTGTATACTGATACAATCCATTATCTACCAGTCCATTAAAACAAATGGATGTGAAAGCTTTGACAAGACTTACATGTTACCAAGTATATTACCATAGTGATGTTATATAACCATGGTGACGTTGTATGTTACCATGGAGATACTTTGTCACCATGTTGATGCTGTGTGATATCATTTTTACACTGAATGTTATCAGTGTGATGTGTTATTATGGCCATTTGTCATACCATGATGATATCATATTACCATGGTGTAGCTTTGGTGTATAGTGTAATAACATGGTGTAGCTTTGGTGTATAGTGTAATAACATGATGATATCATATTACCATGGTGTAGCTTTGGTGTATAGTGTAATAACATGGTGTAGCTTTGGTGTATAGTGTATTACCATGGTGTAGCTTTGGTGTATAGTGTAATAACATGGTGTAGCTTTGGTGTATCATATTACCATGGTGTAGCTTTGGTGTATAGTGTATTACCATGATGATATCATATTACCATGGTGTAGCTTTGGTGTATAGTGTATTACCATGATGATATCATATTACCATGGTGTAGCTTTGGTGTATAGTGTAATAACATGGTGTAGCTTTGGTGTATAGTGTATTACCATGGTGTAGCTTTGGTGTATAGTGTAATAACATGGTGTAGCTTTGGTGTATAGTGTAATACCATGGTGTAGCTTTGGTGTATAGTGTATTACCATGATGATATCATATTACCATGGTGTAGCTTTGGTGTATAGTGTATTACCATGATGATATCATATTACCATGGTGTAGCTTTGGTGTATAGTGTATTACCATGATGATATCATATTACCATGGTGTAGCTTTGGTGTATAGTGTATTACCATGATGATATCATATTACCATGGTGTAGCTTTGGTGTATAGTGTATTACCATGATGATATCATATTACCATGGTGTAGCTTTGGTGTATAGTGTATTACCATGGTGTAGCTTTGGTGTATAGTGTATTACCATGGTGTAGCTTTGGTGTATAGTGTATTACCATGGTGTAGCTTTGGTGTATAGTGTAATACCATGATGATATCATATTACCATGGTGTAGCTTTGGTGTATAGTGTATTACCATGGTGATACGTATTACCATGGTGTAGCTTTGGTGTATAGTGTAATACCATGGTGATACTGTATTACTATAGTATAGCTTTGGTGTATAGTGTAATGCCATGGTGATACTGAGTGTTACTATAGTGATATGGTGTGTTACCATGGTGATACTGAGTGTTACTATAGTGATATGGTGTGTTACATGGTGATGTTGTGTTTTACACTGGTGATAAGATGTATTAAAATGGTGCTATGCTGTGTTGTCATAGTGATAATGTGTTTACTTTGGCGATAAATTATGTTACCATGGCAATTCTGATATACATTTCAAGATGACAGGTATTTCCAATTTTAGTGAGGATAACTTTAAATTGCAGACTGGTCTGACTGTTAATGTTGCACCTCGGTCCCATGAAATACACATAGTAATCAATCTGATACGATCTGTGACCATAGTATGTTACCATAAAAAACTGAATATGTTACTATGTGAATATTCATGTTACACATGTTGCATGTCTCGTGTCTTTAGCTTTCCAGCCGGACAGAAATGCTACCTCTTTGGACTGTGATAAAACATTGGACAGAGAAAGTCTGATTTGATTGTTGCCCTTAGGGGTATAATAGACTATCATTAAATATAAAGAAAATGAAGGTTTTGCATGTGCTCTTTACATTAGGCCAACAAAATGTCTGCATATTGACAAATTTACAAAATCTAAAAATGAGTTCCACACATGCCAGAAGGTATCTGTCTGACTGGAAATTTGATGCAAATTATACATCCTAGCTTAAGATACATGTAACTTGATCGATACTTGACACTGATTGTGTAAGGAATTTCTATTCAAAATATCGAAGTAAGATCACACAGATAATGTTATCTGCATACAAAGTTATATATAGACACACCAACGTCTCTGTACGTTAGATACATAATGTGTATACATTACTCTATAGAAAATAAGTGTAAGCCATCAGGCAGTTTAAGTCTGATAGGTTTCTTATAAAACAAATCAAATTAGTAGATAATATTAAATTAATGGTATTAGATTTTTCTTGCCAGCATCCGTAGCAGCATTACGTGACACTACAAGAAACTTGGATACATCTAAGCCTAATGAAATCATTCTATCACTTGGATAGGCTGAGTTCAACATATTTTTATAGCATGTATTGAATGAAATGTATAATCTTCAGAAAAAATTCAAAGTTTGGAATCAAGATAAATAAATTTGTAGGCTATTAAGGAAATGTTTGGCAAGATCTTCACGAAAAATCAATAAATATTTCCTTTCTAAACTAATTCAATCAAAGCTAGCACTACATACATATATCTGTATTATAGACTGTGTTTTGTCGATAGAGAAAGGCTCATGAAAACTCGGAGAGAAACACAGACCCAACTTATCTATCAGCATGTAAATCAGACCTTTGTCTGCTGTGAGCGCTGAGATAATTCACCTTCTACCTACTTAACATAAATTTACATATTTATTCTAGGAATAAGAATTACATAACGATAACTAGAGATATATCAGTGATGGAAGATTTGTGTTTGATCACCCATAATTTATAGTTCCTAGTTAGATAGAAGATCCCCTAACTTGTCATTCTATTTCCAGAAAAAGGGGACTATTCTC